ACACTAGTTGTACATTTTCTTTACCCACTGAACCATTATATTGACCTATTTTTCATTTCTTCATTTTTGCTTCTCTATAGAGACAATTATGACTTCTAATAAGACATATTTATTATTTTAATAACAACAATAATTTAATATTATAAAATATTTTATTTTACTTATATTATTATTGTATTGTTGTTGCGTGTGTGTGTGTGTGTGTGTGTGTGTGTGTGTGTGTGTGTGCAAATATCAGAGAGCACATGTAGCGTTCAGAAGACTGCTTTGTGGATTCTATTTTCTTCTACCTTTACATGGGTTCAAAGGATCAAACTCATACTCTCAAGGCTTGAGCTATCTCTCTGACCCCGTATTATTTTTTTCAGAGTTAACTAGAGGGATTCATTTTCTTTGTATTGGTATATTTGAGAAGATTGATAAGCAAGCCTTTGTTTACTGTGCCCACTTTTAAGTGTGGGCAGACAATTTTCAGAATGTGCTTTTTAAAACTATGTATTCTTCTAACAAATGATGGGTTCATCATGTCACTTCATGACTGTATGTTGAATGCTTTACATATCTCCACCATGTCTCTGTTTTATTTCTCCATCCCCACAACTGGTCTCCTTCCTCATTCCAAACACTCTGTTTTCTATTTTCATAAACATATATGTTTAAATATAGTGGTTTAATGAGAGAAAGCATCCACTGTGATGCTCTGGCTGCCTCTTAGCCTTCAGTATTGGGTGTTTCATATGGCACACTTGTCCAATCTTCTGGCTATGGCAACCAGGCTAATATCTTTCCATGCAGTTAATTTTACTTTTTTTTCTGACTACATAGTAATATGAGTCTTTTTGTTCATCCCAAAGTATTTCCCCGAGCTCTACTTTCTGAAAAGTAATTCTATCTATCTATCTATCTATCTATCTATCTATCTATCTATCTATCTATCTTTTTTTCAAGACAGTGTTTCTTGGTATAATATCCTGGCTGTCCTAAAACTCATTTTGTAGATCAGGATAGCCTTGAACTCACAGAGATCCATCTACCTCTGCCTCCTGAGTACTGGGATTAAAAGTGTGTGCCACTACCACCAGGCTTGCAAAGTAATTTAGAGGTGACTGTTTACTTTGTGATGATACAGTACCATCTTGTTATACAGGTTGATTTTACAGTGAGGTGGTTACATATGTTCTCCACATTGGTCACAGTGTATGTACAGTTCAGTTGTCTTAAGCAATCCACCATTGTTTGTTCAAGGATTTTTTAACTAAAAAACTCTTAAGTTATAATACTGCCTATTGCTTTTTAAATTGTTACTTCTTCAATAACAGTCATTGTTGTTTTAGATGGTAAGTTCCATTTCCCCCTTTGTCAATTACTTTTTTGGTTATGAAAGAATATAACATTTGTCTTGTGCATTACTGATTCAGAGCTTCAGATTATAAATCATGTTTGCTCCATTGTTGTGGGGATAGGGCCTATGCAGTCCAGACTCATCTTGAACTCACTACAGAGCTGAGGATGACTTTGAATTCCTTCACCTCCTGAGTGCTGGGATCACAAGCATGTGCTGCTGTGTCTGGATAAACTCTGTTCTTTAGTAATGCTAGGGAGGATCTGAATTACACTTTACTTCTGGGAGTATCTGGGGAGCCTACTCTAGAGAAAATTAGCCCATGGGACAGCAATGTCCTCAAATGAAGGTGGCATTTGCAGTATGCCAATGTACTTGATAGAATGATGGAATAACAGTGGAAGTCTTTTAGTGTAGGCTTGCTATGAGAGGAGCAGCTTCAGTACAATGGAGCCAGGCAAGCTATGGATTGAAGCTACTTTTAAAGTCATGTGCCAGAAATCAATTGTTCCTTCTTTTCTCAGGTCTGTTGTCATAGCAGTGAAAATACTAATACAATATGATAGTATACCTTTAATCATAAGGTCTGTACCTCCAGGACACAGTGGAGCACTGCTAGTTCCTCTCCCCCACATCCCCTTACTACTTTGCTGTTTCTCAAACCCTGCCTCCTCTGATTCTAGCACACAAGGGAAAAGAAGGTAGTAGCAAAGATACCTCTGGTTTCCCTTTATAACCTACTGTAAAGGTGATGGAGTGTTCACCCCTTTTATTTTTCTTCTGTCCCACATTTAAATATATTGGACTTAAATACTGGAGTAGCTGGAGAGGTGGCTCAGGGATTACAGGCATGTAAGGTTGTTGCAGAGGACCTGAGTTTAGTTCCCAGTACCCATATTGGGTGTCTCACCATCCTATAACTCCAGGAGATCTGATGCTCTCTTCTGGATTACATGAGTACTTGCATGTACTGCCTTCCACCCTGCCATCATGTCTACTCATAATGAAAGACAAAAATCATTTTTTCTGGTTTTTGTCATTCTTTTAAATGATGGGAGCGTTTTTCCCCTGCATTTTATAAACTTGTTAACTTAAAGTCAGAGAGGTTGATGTTTAATGGTGCTAAGAAAGTTTGCTTTTATTGTGAGTTCATAGATTATTTTTTTTATATTTTAAAAAACTTTCATTTGGATAACAACAACACCATGCAACAATACTGTTTGACACTGGAGATGAAGGAGAATTTTCACTCCTTTGGTTTCAGCCAATCTCCTCCTAATCTTTTTGCAATATTATCATAGATACAGAATAGTTTATATATTGCAAGCTCTGAAATTGATAATGTCTTTTTATGCTCAGATTGTTTGGAGACAATTTTGTTCCTTCCAATTTGGTTTTCTGTGTTTATCTTAATCACTTTTCTGTTAATGTGATAAGACCATGACAAATGGACTTATTCAAGGAAGGGTCTGCAGGAGACTTTTGAGAGCATGACCATCATGACAGGAGCAGGGCAGCTGGGAAGCAGTTAAGGCAGTGGAGTAGTGGCTGAGGCTTTACATTTTGAGACAGTACCACAAAGTAGGGACAGAGAGCTAACTAGGAATGGCATGGGCTTTTGCAGTCCTTCCCAAAAAGTTCCACAAACCAGAGAGCAAAGAATCCAAACACACGAGTCTATAAGTTGATTTTCATCAAACTGCCACAGTGCTCTTTTGTGCATTAAAGGACACACGTGATATGTTAGGTGATGTGCTATATGATGAAAGAAATTGTGTTGTATTTAATATGATTGAATTTTGTATATTGTTGCTGTGTTTTTTAATACTATTCATATCCTATACAGTGGGTGACTGAGAGCACCCAAAGGATCCCTTAACAGCACCCCTTTTTCCTTGTGTGCTGTAGTCAGAGGAGACAGTATTTGGAAAAGAATAAAGTAGTAAAGAGGGGAACCCACAATAGTTCACTGCACTTTAGAGGTATAGGTCTTGTAATCTACATTATATATGTATATGATACGTGATATGTGTGTGTGTGTGTGTGTGTGTGTGTGTGTGTGTGTGTGTGTGTGTGTGTGTGTGTTATAGCTAATTTAGCCTGCGTACCTCTTTCAAAGACCTATTTCATTCACATAATGTTGCTGAATCAAAATGCTTTTCTTTGTAGGCACTGTCAGTGCTGAAACACTCATTGTTATCCTTCAAGCATCCCCGAGTTATAGACATGTTGAAGCTTTACTTCTTATATTCTTTGCAGTTCCTGGTGAAAGAGGTATGAACAAAGTCCCCCCCCTCTGTGTGTGTGTGTAATAGATTTGCTGCTATCTAGATTTTTAAAGTAACAGACTTGATATGTTTAATTAAAAAATTATCTACATATGTGTGTGATATGTGTGTGGATATTGTGTGTGAAGGTGCCCCTGGAGACACGAAAAGGGCATGAAAGTCCTGGAACTGGAGTTATAGCTACTGTGAGGCACTCAGTGTAGATTCTGGGAAACAGCTCAGGTCCTCTGGAAGAGCAGTAAGTGCTCCTGACAGAGCCATCTCTCCAGCCCTAGGTTATTGTTTTTAAGCACACTGCATGATTGCAATTTTTAGAAAACAATAACCAGTAGGTACTGCTACTTGTAATTCATTAAATTATTAGAGTTGGGCCAGTTAATAGCTACCCCCTTATTAACATGCACTATTTTAAACTGATAATGAATAATCTACTTGTTGCTAATTCTGTGAGTTGAGTCAAACTAACATATTACTTCTGTTCTTTAGGGACATATAGATCAGGAAGGTAACCCCACAGGGTTTGCTGGCCTTGTAACACATTTACATTACCACGAACCATCTAATCTTGTTTTTGTGAATTTTCTTGTAAGAGGACTTTTCCATAATCTTTGCCAGCCAACTCACAAAGGTAAGTTTGAAAGCTGTATTATCTGTGCATTATCAAAATAATACTATCAGATCATACAGCATATAAATAATATATCATTGATAGTATATGGCTATATATCAAGTAATATATGATATGCAATAAATATTATATATGTGTAAAATCATAAGTGTGTGCGTAAAATCTTCCCATGATGGGAAAAAAACCTGATAGATTTATAGGAACCTAGAACTTCAGGGATATATTTACTCAATAATCACGTGAGAGATTATCAGTTAGTTGTTTGTATAAAAATCTTATTATTGTTTATTTACATGATATACAATAATTATAAAACATTTCCTTGTAATTAAACATATGGTGAATTTTGAACAACTGCACAGGAAATCATTGTTAAAATATGAAACCTAAAATTATACCCACAGATATAACCAGTATTAATATCTATGACTATTGTCTGTAACACTATTTTCTTTGAATATCATTGTAAAGTATCCATAAGTAACTGATACTGCATTAATTATGTGTTTGAGGTCAATTTGACATATTAAATTTTGCTCATGGTTATTTGGCAAAGTCTTTAAAATAAATCCCATACACCTTTCATGGGGAAAAAAACCCTTTGTGTTCTATATTCCAAAGCAAATTCTTTACACAATGTCTCTGCAGTAAGTAGTGTTCTCTCATAATATCCATGCTTAATGTGATACTTCCCTGTGCATGGTGGCTTCCATGCCTCATGCTTTGTCTTCTATTACCAGATGATGGAAATCCTTTGCTTTGCACAACACCTGTAGTCTTTATGCTTTTAAAAGTGTATCATTTTGTGGCTACTCAGAAAGTTTTCTTCCCCCAGAATTTGTAAAAGGTGAAATCATTTCAAGCACGAGGAAGTGTGGCTGTGTTTATTGTTTGTTGACAATGGTGGCCAAAATTGATAACTTTATAAAGGATGCATGGAGAAGTTAACTAAACAGACACACATCTAACACTTTAAGAAGTCAGAGATAGCACTCAAACATAACTAGCCTGATGTTAGATCCCAAGTTATTGATTGTCACAGCTTTCTCAGCATTTCTACTATTTATGTGCAGTGATTCTGGTGGACTGTGGCTCTGTCTGAGATGAGGAAGGCTATCTGTAGGATTAGTTTTAGATATTTTGTTGTTAGGCATGGAGGTGTCATAAGAGATTGTTGACTAGGTGAGAGACACTAGCATGCTTTGCATGAGCATGGCCTCCAAAGGCTCAATCCTTGGACACTAGGGAGTGGCACTATTTGAAATGATAAGGAGATGTAGCATTGAAGTAAATCTACATTTTCTTTTCTGCTGCCAGTGCCAAAAAATGACACAGAGACTTATGATTAATTATGAAAGTTTGACCTTAGCTTAGGCTTATCCCTCTGGTTCTTATAATTTAAAGTAATCCATTTATATTAATCTGTGATCTGCCATGTGGTAGTGTCTCTCTTTCATCTTACTCCTTCTGTATCATCTCCATGTGTGACTGGTGACTCTACTTTTCTTTAATCCCAGAGTCCTCTCTGTCCACAGAAATTCTGTTTATAAATCTGTCTAGCTTGGCCATTCAGCTTCTTATTACACTAATTACAGTAGATATATCTTTATACAGTGCGCAAATAACCCACAATAAAATTGTGTCACCAGGGAGTGGGTTTTGAGGTTTCCAACCCAGTCAAGGCTAGAGTCTCTCTCTCTTCTTGGTGCCTGCAGATCCAGATGTAGAACTCTCAGCCACTTCTCCAGTACAACATGTGCCTGTGTACCCATCACAATGATAATAGGCTAAACCTTTGAAACTGTAAACAAGCCCCAATTAAATGCTTTCTTTTATAACATTTGTCATGGTCATGATGTTTCTTCACAGCAATAGAATACTAACCAAGACAGAAGTTGGTACCAAAAATGGACAGGTCTGACCATACTGCTTGTGGGAAGAAGGTGAAAATTGGGACTTTGGATTAGGAAAGCAGTTAAACATTTAAAGTGGGGCTTAAGGACCATACCAGTAAAACAGGGAAGACAGTGATGCTGAGAGCAATGTATATTACGAGGCTCAGCTCAAGAGATTGCAGGGGAGAAAAATATTAGTAAGTGGCCTAGAGACTGCTTTTGTGATATCTTGGTGGAGAGTTTTCTGCTTTTATCCAAAAATTATGCCAGAGGTTAATTTGAAGAGTTCTGGATTAATGACCCTGGCAGAGATTTCAAGACAGCTTACTGTTGACTGTGTCCTGTGATTGTTGTTAGTCATTCTTACTCAGATCTATAATGAGAAGGACCAAGCTGGACAAAGAGAAATTCAAAATGTATAGTTTCAGGAGAAAAGGAGCACCAGGAAGTCTAATGGAGCTAAGTCCTGAACTCAAGGATAGTACAAGTTTAAAGAAAAGCTTGATGTTATATGGGATAAAGGGAGTGGTGACCTTAGAGCAAGCTTTAAGCAAGACTCCACCCAGAGAAGCTTTCAACTTGTGAAAAGGAATTAAAGAAAAGCTGAAGCAGTGTAGGAAACCATCAACAGCAGAAACCTGATGCAGATGTAATTTAAAGAGAGGCCCAACTTTCAGCCCAAGCAAGCAGTAGAACATGGAAGCTTTAGCCACATAATTCTGGCTTTAAAGTCAAGAATACAAGAAAAGGGTTATGGAGTCTCCTTCGGTGCCTAAGAACAGTACTGAGGCCAGGTGTGTGTCATTGGTGTTCCTGCATGGAGACTTAGAGAAGCCATTGTACAAAGCTGTGCAAGTGAAGCCTGGATTTTGTTAGAGACCCCAAGAGCTGTGGGATATCTGCCAAGGAGAACTGAAGACCATGTGTGGAACCAGTCCAAGAGAGAAAAGTGTTTTTACAGTGAACAAAGCTGAAAGGAGTTGGAGATCTGAAGAGTGTCTTGACATCAGACGTGGAGATGCAGAATGTGGAGCTTGCCCAATTGATGTTCAGTCTTGCTTTGGTCCAGTGTTTCCTCATTATGGTGTCCTTCCTCCCTTTCAAATGGTAGTGTATATCTTGTGCCATTGTATGTTGGACGCATGTGATCTGCTTTTTTACTTTTATTTTATAGGGAGTTATAGTTAAGAGATTTCCTTGAGTTTCATTAGAGACATTGAACTTTGGAATTTTAAACAGTGTTGAGACTGTGATAAATAAACTACAGGGATTTTTGAACTTGGACTAAATGCATTTTTGATTATGATATGGCTATAAACCTGTTGGGGGAGGGAGAAGTGGAAGGCCGTAGTTTGAATGAATATAGACCCCATAGACTCATAGATTTGAATACTTGGTCATAGGGAGAGGCACTGTTTGGAAGGATTAGGAAGTGTGGTCTTTTTGGAGGAAGTATGTCACTACTTTCAAAAGCCCCTGCCAAGTCCAGAAAATAACTAATAAATGGAAACTTAAGAAATATGTAGGCACAGGGAATAAGAAAATCGAAAGGGGAATATTTTAAAAGAAGTAGGTGAGAGAAATTATAGTTATTCATTTTCCATATTACCACCTCAGGTTCTTTTGAGTATCAACCTGATTATCAACAAAGGAATTTTCAATTACTTGGGACTGTTGAGTACACAAGAGGGATATGATCCTATTGATCTTTTTACCTTTATTTTTTTACATCAATGTTTGACTTAAATCCAATAGGAAAGCAGGTTGAATTATATAATAAAATAAATGAAAAAATGTGACAAAGAAAAGTTCAAAAGCATTCATATTAGAAAATTGATTTCCAAAAGTTCAAAATTATTTAAAACATTATGTATTTTGATTTAATTTAGAATAACTTTGGAAGTTAATGTGAAGTTCTCTTTACTGGAACAGTGGTAAGGATTTTAAATTATTACTGAAGAACAATAGAAATCTCACCCACTTATATCCATATGTGTATGGGGAAAGACATTTCTGTGATGAGCAGGTAGTAATGCTGCCGATAGATCTGATGCAGCTCCACATGAACTTGGCAAGTAGCAGTTACAGTAGCAGGATCTCTGTGGTGGTTTGAATAGGAATGAGGAGTGGTCCTCACAGGCTCATATGTTTGAATGCATGCTTTTTGGGGAATGGCACTATTTGAGAGGGATTAGGAGATATGGCCTTGTTGGAGTAGGTGTGGCCTTGTTAGAGGAAGTATGTCACTAGGGGTAGGCTTTGGGATTTTGAAAGCTCAAGCCAGGCCCAGTGGCTATTGCTGTCTTCTTGTGCCTGGTGATGTAAACATAGTACTCTCAACTTCTTCTCTAATACCATGGCTGCCTGTATACAACCATGCTCCCTGCCATGGTGATAATGCACAAAACCTTTGATATTGTAAGCAAGCCCCAGCTACATTCTTTCTTTTATAAGAGTTGCCATGGTCATTGTGTCTCTTTACAATCATAGAACACTGACAAAGACAGGAACATTGTCATAACTTTAGTCATCCACTGGCAAATTGAAGTAATCAAAGTCTAGATCAGAATGTAAGATGATTTGTATTAAGAATGATAAAGATGTTAATGGAGGTAAAAGTAGAAATAAGAAAGGCTCAGGTGAGAAGCATCTGCAGCTGAAGTTGTTCTACAGTTGCTATGAAATGAATGTTGCAATTATTTTAAACAGAAAAAATTCATGTAACCATTGTCACATATATAACATGGAACTTTTCTTTTGTGAAGGCTCAAAATGTTTTTCTAAAGATGTAATGGAAAAGCTGGTTTTAGTATTGGCAAATCTGTTTGGAAGAAGATATCTTCCGGCAAAGTTCCAAGATGTGAACATCAAGTTTTATCAATCAAAGGTAAAATCTTCTGATAAAATTGATTAATAATACTTCACAAATTCTGCCAGAAATAACTCAGCCGCAATAGGATTTTATGAATATGGGGTAATTAATTTATTCTATATACTAGTTTGTTCCTTTTGGAAATAGTGTGACATTTATCTGTAACTCAAAGTCCCTCTGTTCAAAGGTTACCTGCCTTGAGGATAAACAGGACAAAAGTACATGGTTGTTTTTAATTGATTGCATCCAAATATAGCATTAATGAAAAGGTGTAGAGGGCCTGGGAAGATGACTTGATACGGTGCTTGCTATGCAAGCATGAGGATTGGAGTGTGGATTCCCAGACCCATATGAAAAGATGTACATGGTGACACACCTTGTAATCCCAGAGCAGAAAGACAGAGAAACATAGATCCCTGGAGCTGGCTGGTGCAGGCTAGCCTAATTGGAGAGCTCTAGGTATGGCGAGACACCTGCTTTCAAAAAATAAAGTCAAGAGCACCCACACACATATCCATGTACATACACATAGAAAACCTAGGTAATTATACATTTCAGCCCCAAAGCCATCCTCACTGTTGAATGTGTGTCTTGGGATATGACTGTATGTCACAGTGTCATCTCTGAGAAAGTGTTGCAGAGTTATCTGGGAAAGTGTCCTTTGACTCTTAGAGTCAAAATCTTAGAAACAGTTTTCCAATTTGAATATTTTCATTTGCCTGGTCATTTTTGAACAGGTGCATTTGTCCATTTAGTTAAAAGTTATCTTTACTTCCACAAGATAACTCAAATCACCCTTTCTGCTCCTCATGGTGTTTTGAGTTGATTCTCTTAGGAATATCCATGTAACATCCTGATGGAGCACTGATGGCATGGATGACAAAAGCAGAATTCCTTTTGTCACAGTTCTTCAGATTCAGAAGTCGTAAATGAAGATGTATTGTGTGGGCATTCTTTTTGTTTTAGCATTTTCATTTTTTGTTTATTTAAATAGAAACAAGCTTGTTTTACATGTCAATCCCAGTTCCCTCTGCCTCCGCTCCTCCCCTGCTCCCCCAAATCCCCTATCCCATCCCCTTTCTGCTCCCCAGGGAGGGTAAGGCCTTACATAGGGGATCTTCAAAGTCTGTCACATTATTTGAAACAGGGCCTAGACCCTCCCCCTTGTGTCTAGGCTGAGAGAGCATCTCTCTATATGGAGTAGGTTCCCAAAGTCCATTCATGTCCTAGGGATAAATATTGATCTACTACCAGAGGCCCCATAGATTAACCAGACCTCCAAACTGACATTCTCATTCAGGGGTCAGGAACAGTCCTATATAGGTTTCCCAGCTGTCAGTCTGGGATCCATGAGCCCCACCTTGTTCAGGTCAGCTGTTTCTGTGGGTTTCTCCAGCCTAGTCTTGACCCCTTTGCTCATGACTCCTCCCTCTTTGCAACTGGATTCCAGAGTTCAGCTCAGTGTTTAGCATTGGGTGTCTGCCTCTGCTTCCATCTGCTACTGGATGAAGGCTCTAAGACGGCATATAAGGTAGTCATCACTCTCATTATGGGAGAAGGGCATTTAAGGTAGCCTCTTGACTATTGTTTAGATTGTTAGTAGATATTGTAGATATCTGAACATTTCCCTAGTGCCATATTTCTCTTTAAATCTGTAATGGCTCCCTCTATTATGGTATCTCTTTCCTTGCTTTCCTCTATTCTTCCCCTGACTAAATCTTCCTGATCTCTCATGTTCTCCTCTCCCCTCCTCTGCTCCCCATATCTTTTTCTTAACTCCCTCTCCTCTCCCTCCATGCTCCCAATCAGCTTAGGAGATCTTGTCCCTTTCCCCTTCTCCAAGGGACCATGTATGTCTCTCTTAGATCCTCCTTGTTTCCTAACTTCTCTGGTGGTGTGGATTGTGGGTTGCTAATCCTTTGCTCTATGTCTAAAATCCATATATGAGTGAGTCCATGCCATGTTTATCTTTTTGTGACTGGGTTACCACACTCAGGATGGTTTCTTCTAGTTCCATCCATTTGCCTCTGAATTTCAAGATTCTATTTTTTTTCCACCAAGTAATACTCCATTGTGTAAATGTGCCACATTTTCTGTATCCATTCTTCAGTTGAGGGGCATCTAGGTTGCTTCCAGGTTCTGGCTATTACAAATAATGCTGCTATGAACATCGTTGAGCATATGTCCTTGTTGTATGAATGTGCATCTTTTGGGTATATGCCTAAGAGTGGAATTGCTGGATCTTGTGGTAAACTGATTCCTGTTTTCCTGAGGAATCTCCATACTGATTTCTAAAGTCAGATGTGGGTTTGGTGAATATCTTTACACATTCTGTGAGCTGTCGTTTTGTCTTGTTGACTGGGTCCTTTGCCTTACATAAACTTCTCAGTTTCAGGAGGTACAAATTATTAATTGTCAATCTCAATGACTGTGCTACTGGTGTTATGTTCAGGAAGTGGTCTCCTGTACCAATATGTTTGAGGATACCAACCTACTTTCTCTTCTAAGAGGTTCAGTGTGGCTGGATTTCTGTTGAGGTGTTTGATCCATTTGGAGTTATGTTTTGTGCATGGCAATGGATAATGGATCTGTCTGCAGTCTTCTCCATGTCAGCATTAAGTTGTGCCAGCACCATTTGTTGAAGGTGCTTTTTTCTATTGGTAAAATTCTATTTGCTTTGTCAAAAATCAGGTGTTCATTGGTGTGTGGGTCCATATCAGGGTTTTCAATTCAATTCCATTAGTCTGCCTATTTTTGTGCCAAGTTGTTTGCAGGACTATCACTCTAAAGTCAGGGATGGTGATGCCTCTGGAAGTTTCTTTATTGTACAGGATTGTTTTGACTATCCTGGGATTTTTGTTTTTCCATACAAATTGAGAATTGTTCTCTCAAGGTCTGTGAAGAATTGTGCTGGGAGTTTGGTGGGGATTGCATTGACTCTATAGATTGCTTTTGGCAAGATTGCCATTTTTACTATGTTGATCCTCCTTATCTAAGAGCATGGGAGATCTTTCCATTTTCTGGTATCTTCTTTAATTTCTTTAAAGACTCAAAGTTCTTGCAATACTACCCAAAGGTATTTTATGTTGTTTGTGGCAATTGTAAAGGGTTTCGTTTCTCTGATTTCTTTCTCAGTCTATTTATGCTATGTATATGCTAGGGCTACAGACTTTTTTGATGCAGATTTTTCTTGTATCCTGCCACTTTGCTGAACGTGTTTATCAGCTGTAGGAGTTCCCTGGTAGAGTTTTTCAGGTCACTTATGTGAACTATCTTATCGTCTGCAACTAGTGAAATTTTGACTTATTCATTTCCAATTTGTATCCTGTAGATCTCCTTTTGTTGTCTTATTGCTCTAGCTAGAACTTCAAGTACAATATTAAAGAGGTATGAAAAAAGTGTCCAGCCTTGTCTTGTTCTTGATTTTAGGTAATCACATTGAGTTTCTCTCCATTTAGTTTGATGTTGGCTGTTGGCTTGCTGAATATTGTTTTTATTATGTTGAGGTATGTTCCTGTAATCCCTGATCTCTCCAAGACCTTTATCATGAAGGGGTGTTGGATTTTGTCAAAGGCTTTTTCAGCATCTAGTGAGATGATCACGTGGTTTTTTCCTCAGTCTGTTTATATGGTGGATTACATTGATGGAATTTTATATGTTGAACCATCCCTGCATCCTTGGGATGAAGCCTACTTGATTATGGTGGATGATTTCTCTGATGTGTTCTTGTATTTGATTTGCCAGTATTTTATTGAGAATTTTTGCATCAATGTTCATGAGGGATATTGGTCTGTAGTTGTCTTTCTTAGCTGTGTCTTTGTGTGACTTGTGTACCAGAGTAACTGTAGCTTCATAAAAAGAGTTTGGCAATGTTCCTTCTGTTTCTATTGAATTGAATAATTTGAGGAGTATTGATATTAGTTCTTTGAATATCTTGTAGAATTCTGCACTCCATTTTGCCCTGGGTTTTTTTTTTTTTTTTTTTGGTTGGGAGACTTTTGATGACTGCTTCTATTTCCTTAGAGGTTATAGGTCTGTTTAAACTGCTTATCTGTTCTTGATTTAATTTTGGTAAGTGATATCTATTCAGAAAATTGTCTATTTCCTTTAGATTTTGAATTTTGAGGAGTACAGGTTTTCAAAGTATGACCTGATTATTCTCTGGATTTCCTCAGTGTTCATTGTTGTGTCCCCCTTTTCACTTCTGATTTTATTAATTTGCATGTTTACTCTCTGCTGTTTGGTAAGTTTGGATAAAGGTTTCTCTTTCTTGTTGTTTTTTTCAAAGAACCAACTCTTCATATTCATTGATTCTTTGAATTGTTTTCCTAGTTTCTAATTTATTGATTTCAGCCCTTAGTTTGATTATTTCCTGGCATCTACTCCTCTGGGGTGAGATTGCTTCTGTTTGTTCTGTTTCAGTTGTGCTGTTATTTCTCTAGTGTGACTATTCTCCAGTTTCTTCATGTGGGCACTAAGTGCTGTGAATTTTCCTCTTAGCACTGCTTTCAAAGTGTCCCATAAGTTTGGGTATGTTGTGTCTACATTCTCATTGAATTCTAGGAAGTCTTTAATTTATTTAATTTATTTTTTTTCCTTGACCCAGGGATGGTGCTATTGTGCATTGTTCACATTCCATGAGTTTGTAGGTTTTCTGCAATTGGTGTTGTTGTTGAATTCTAACCTTAAACCATGGTGGTCCAATAAGATACAAGGGGTTATTCCAATTCTTTGTACCTGTTGAAATTGTCTATGTTGCTGAGTATGTGGTCAATTTTAGAGAAGTGGTGCTGAGAAGAAGGTATATTCTTTTGTGTTTGGATGGAAATGTTCTATAGATGTCTGTTAAACCCAATTGGGTCATAGCTTCTATTAGTTCCTTTGTTTCTTTTTTAAGTTTCTGTCTGGTGGTCCCATCTAGTGGTGAGAGAGGGGCGTGAAGTCTCCCACTATAAATGTGTGAGGTTTTATGTGTGATTTGAGTTTTAGTAATATTTCTTTTATGAATGTGAATACCTTTGTATTTGGGGCTTAGATGTTCAGAATTGAAACTTCATCTTGATGGATTTCTCCTGCGATGAACATGAAATGACTTCCTTCATCTCTTAATTAAATTTAGTTTGAAGTCTAGTTTGTTAGATATTAGGATTGCTACCCCTGCTTTTTTCTTGGGCCCTTTTGATTGGAAAATCTTTTCCCATCCCTTAACTTTGAGGTATATCTGTCTGAAGTTGAGGCATGTTTCTTTAATGCAACAGAAGGGTGGATTCTGTCTTCGCATCCATTCTGTTAGCCTGTGTCTTTTTATAGGTGAGTTAAGATCATTAATAGTGAGGGATATTAATGACCATTGATTATTCATTCCCGCTTGTTTTGGATTTGTGGGTGGTGGTAGAATTGTGTATGGATTTCCACCCTTTTTTTCTTTTGGCTGTTGGTAAAGTGGGATTATCTATGGCTTATGTTTTTCTGGTTATAGTTAACTTCCTTGGGTTGCAGTTTTCTTTCCAGAACTTTCTGTGGGGCTGGATTAGTGGCCATGTATTGTTTAAATCTGGGTTTTTTTATGGAATATCTTGTTTTCTCCATCTATAGTGATTTAATGCTTTGCTGGGTAGTCCGGACTGGCATCTGTTGTCTGTTAGTGTTGGTAGAATATCTATCCAGGACCTTCTGGCTTTGGAGAATTCAGGTTTAATTTTGATAGGTTTGCTTTTATTTGTTACTTGGCCCTTTTACTTAGCTGCTCTTAATAGTCTTTCTTTATTCTATATTTTTTAGGGTTTTGATTATTATGTGATGTGGGGACTTTTCTTTGTGGTCCACTCTTTTGGTGTTCTGTAAGCTTCATGTACTTTCATTGGCATGTCGTTCTTTAGGTTGGGAAAGTTTTCTTCTATGATTTTGTTGAGTATGTTTTCAGCACCTTTCAGGTGGGTTTCTTCACCTTCTTTTATACCTATTATCCTTAGGTTTGGTCTTTTCTGTGTGGACATTCTTTCTATGTCGTAGTTTTCTATCACAAAACTACAAAAAAATTAGAAACACAGCACTTTCATGCATACAAGTTGAAAAATAATTAACAGTGTTAGCACAGTGAGTTTCAAAACCTCTCAATCAGGTGCAGTTGATTCCAGGCCTGAAAATATGCTTATCTTCTTTTCTGTATAAATGTGTCCCTAGATCCTTTGAAATTACTCATGGATCTGGTGGCAGTTGAGGGCATGCTTCTACTTGTACAAAAGTTATTTTGATTAAGTAGCATCAGAGTAAATGTTGTGGGTATTTATTTTTACCAATCCAAGTAAGAATAAAAAATTATTAACCTCAGTACAACCAAGTAAAGAAGAAAAAGTGGCTTTACTGAAAACAATAAAATTATACTATATGATCTTTTACCTTCATTGTTCCAAATACTCAGCTTTTATGGAAAGTATTCTCCTCTCTTTGGCTTTTAGGTGTTTCTTGATGACCTCCCAGAGGACTTCAATGAGGCACTGAATGAGTACAACATGAAAGTGACCATGGACTTTGCTGCTTTTCTGCTAATTGTGTCCAGATTAGCTGACATGAAACAAGAATATCAACTCCCCTTGTCAAAAATTGGTAAGTGTGGAGACATTTAGTAATAGTGTTGTCCAACGATATATAATGTGGGTGTTATGGATGCATGTCAGTGGTAGGGCTCCAACTCTACCATTTTTATCTTAGAAGGCTGGCACTATAGAAAAGTCAGCTTGCCTTAGAATACTTTGGTTCTTTCAGCATAAAAAAGAAACAAAAAGGAAATTGGTGATTGGCAGTTAAAAGGGCAGTGGAGAATGAAACCAAAACCAAGTAGAATCATTAATAAACTGTTTTGATTGAGGGCTACTTTGAGTCAGTCCTAGAAAGCAGATCAAGGTTGTCTCTGAGCCAAGAAAAACAAGAGGAATTCTGTTAGGACTTTTCAGGAGAGGCTTGATGGTGACTGTCATAGACCTTGGGCAGATCCTCTAACTGCTAATTCTTACCCTGGAAATTCAGGCAAGTGATGCCACAGACATTATCAATGGACAGTGAAATAGAGAATAGTATTTTTTTTAGTATTATTGAGATTCAAATGATTAGTTTTAAATGATTAGTTCATGTAAATACCTTGAAGTAGGGCTTAGTGTATAGGGAAATGGTTCTATTTTGTTGTTCTTATTTATAACCAATAGACAGAAGTCTTCTAAGTGACTATAAACAGAAAACTTTGATTAGGGAAAAATGTTGGAGGCTCACTATGTCTTAACATCTCCAGTTGGGGAAATCAAGGAAGTAGAGTGTGTACCCTCTTAGACTATAAATGTAGAAACCATGAAACAACCAGAAACAAACCAGAAAGCAATGAATATGACCAATCTTGTCAGATCTGGAAAGCTAAGCAAAATTGGGCATTCTAGTACCTGGAGAGAACACTATCTGAAAAAATTCAAAGGCCATGTCTGAATTCAGTGGGGGGAGTTTCTAATGATAAGAGTTTAAATTAACTTTTGACTGATCAAAAGCATAGTACATAGTTTTTTCATTAGCGATGCCAACTCTACAGGCTAACATTTAATGGATATATCCCCTTACAGACTGGCTTGGCTGTTCAGTATGTGTTATAGCAATTTTTCTTCATTGTGATATGATCTCTGTTAGGTAAAATGGCTTCCCTTTATTTTAGCTTGGTTTAGCTCTCATACAAGGAATTGAATCTTCCAGGCCTGGTGGTGGCTGCCTTTAAATTCAGGACTCAGTGGCAGGGACATCTCTGGAGGACAGGGAGATGTCTGTGATCAGTCTGGCTTACACAGAGTGTTCTAGGCCAGCCGAAGATACATAATAATAAGGCCTTGTCTCAAACAAACAAACAAAAATGAAAAGAACAACAACAAAAAGCAATCATCTCACCTCATTCTGGTCAGAATTTGCAGGTAAAGAATGTGAAGATTCGCCACTTGTGTCTCATTTGATGAGCTGCAGGGAAGGAAGGGTGGCAGTGTCACCATTTGTTTGTCTCTCTGGAAACTTTGACGAGGATTTGCTTCACCCAGGAGTTTCAGATAATGTAAGTAAAGAGTGATGTTTATTATTAGTCTCTGTGGAGCTTTTGCTCCAGTCTTAATGGTATATTGTAAGAGACTGCTGTCGAAGCTGTGGATTACTAACATATAGACGTTAAAAAAATATACTTTCCATTGTAAGAAAAACATTTTTGTTTATTAGTTAATTTTCCCAGCTGGATCACAGATGACAGTTTTCCCTCCCTCCCTCCCTCCCTCCTCTCCTCCGAGTTCCTCCCCAATCCCTCCCCCACTTCCCCACCAGTCATCAACTCCTTCACCTTTCTTTTCAGAAAAGTACAGGCCTCCCATGTAGATCAGCCAACGATGGCATATCAAGAAAAATAATTTTTAGGAGTTTAGATTTCTTTATTTTGTATGGATGACTATAAAGGATTAGTTGGATATGTAAGAGATTCATAGTTAAGTACATAAAAAAATAATAAACTTTAAGCATTATGATTTCCTTTCCCAAGATGGATGTAATGACTGTCATGCCCATAATTCCAACACTGGAGATTCTAAGACAGGAAGACTGCTACAAATTTGACTATTACATAATGAGTTTCAGATAATGCTAGAATTTGTTTCTCTTTCAAGTTGAGAAGGGGGTGGAGGAAGAAGAGGAGGGAGAGGAGGATACCAAATAACTCCTCTTTCCATTTATTACGTGATTAACTTGATTTATGAAATTCAACCATCACCTTTTCTTCCTTTTTAGATGTAGAATTTCCATGGCAATTCAGGGGGTACTGATACAATGAGAATAAACTAGAAAGTCTGTGTCTTGTTGCTGTAATATCAGAATCAATTAGAAGGGACATAAGTGTATGCATGAACTCATTCCCACTTACCCTTGTTGCCCATGGAGTTCTAGAAAATAGTGTCTGCTTCTATTTCCTTCATATGGGATAGATATTTAGATTCATGTTTCTTGATCATAGCTTGCTTTTTTGATTGACCCAATTCACTTCATATAAACTTGTTTTATTAGGGTATATGGTAATCTCTTGAAATTTCACTTATTTGTGTTGCTGGATCCTAACATCTCCCTTGGAGCAGGGGGTGAGAAGGTACAGCGTCAACAGCACAGATACTAGGAGTCAGGAGAAAGGCAAGCAGTTGACTCCTTTACTTAGCATTGGGGAGATACTTATATACCCTCCCAGCACCCAGGTATTCCATTCCTATCCTTTGACATCTCATGATCTCTCCTCATTGGCTAGACACAGGACTTCTGACAGCACTGGGCAGACTCCAGGTTTGCACACCCTCTCAGCCTGGTAGGCCTTAAATTTCTACATAACCACCCTTTTATTATTTATTACATGAGTATTTGGCGGGAGCCAGAGTTCTTTGATCAGGCCTTGTTGACCACACCTCAGGAGGGCTCAGTGACTGGGCTGTGCCTGTCTTGGTTTTGCCTGCCCAATAAGTGCTTACCTGTCATTGACTATCAGCCTTTGAAGAGTATTCATTTCTGGAGAGCTGCCTGGGTGGGGGTGGTGGGTTAGGTGGCAGCCTTTTGAATTTCAGATAACCAGGAATGCATAGCCCTGCAGAGCACTTGGGGAAGGATGCCTAAGAGCCAATAACACCTGAAGAGTTGCCTTGGTTGCTGCCCACTGCTGTTGAATTTGCTGCAGGAAACATTTAAAGAGAATAAGCATTAGCAATACCACCCACCAATTAAGGCATATGTGAGCATCCAGGAGGGATCAAATAACCTTTTTATATTATGCCAAACTTTAAAAAAAAATGATGGTTCAAAGGACTTAACCTCTGCCCTTAATAAATCAATTTGTTTGGGGGGGCAATGAAAGCAAGAAAGGGGAGTATATGAATTACCCATCATGGGTTATTCCTTCCTTGGTGGAAGCAGGCTGATACAAGGCACATCTCTTACCTGGACCCATATTGGCAGTCTGAGGAAAAACACAAGCATACCCTTGCACATGGGTTAGCAGGGGTGCTGGTGGCTGCCACTGGGGGACAGGTGTGTGTTCCTTGGCAGAAATGCCCAGTGATTGTAGGCCTGGCTGAGCCCTTTGTCCTCTTAGTGTTGGGGCTAAGGAGTACCATGCCTGGAGTTTAAAGGGGCAGATACTTCGGCAGGCCAGATCTACAATTCTTTGACCAATGAAATCCCTTATTGCATCTGGGATATGGGGACCTAGATTTTTCCCAGGGGCAGTCATGCCACAGAAGGCCTGGTTTGCTGTATCCCCAGTAAGGTATATCTATTTGTGGGCACTTGGGTGACATTGGTTTGCTGCCTGTCATCAAGAAGCATCCAAGGAAGCAGTGAGGGCAACAATGGGACTGTTATTAGGGTACAGATCTCTTGTGAATGTCCTCATTTCTGCCTGCTGTGACCACATTGCATGTTGGGGCATTAAGCCCTTCCCAGACCAAATGTTTTATTAACGTTTTCCTAGTGGCTATTGGTTCTACTCTGCTCCACTACCTCATTGACATGTGTGAGAAAATAAGGACAAAGTTGCCCTGCTGTTGAATAAGATCGCAGAAGCAAGCTGAAGGGTCCAGAGGGGTACATGCCTTAAGAGCTGTGAAGGTCAGATCAGAAACCTGTTTGTAGTAAGCTTGATGGCTAATCTGTGCCTGATGGATAGGATAGACAAAGTTACCTCATCCAGTGAGGGCATCAAGGGTTAAAAGCATTTTGTCATAGGTTGACCAGAAAGACTTCTGCCACCCTTTGAGACCTAAGGTGGAAGAGGCTGCAGTGGCTGGGATTCATACTGCAGTGAAGGGGATTTATGCCTTCAGGGGCTGGTGGACAATGTGACACTTCACTCCACGGGTATTACAGCAGAAGTGTACTGTCCAGAGGCAGGAGTGGAGATGACTAGTGTAACATGAAAAAGACAAAAAAACAAAAACAAAAACAAAAACAAAAAACCCAGAGTTAGATATTTAGCTTCAAACTTCAAGCTGCCAAGGATCAAGGCAGCCAAGCCAGTAGATCTTACTGCTACCAAGTTGAAATGGCAATCCTGTCTCCATGAATCCTCAGAGGCAAAAGCTCTCAGATCCTGTCTCCTCCTCCTTTTATTCCTTTCTCCCCCGATCCATATCACTCCTGTTTTCACCCCCCTAGTACTGTGATTAAAGTGCTGAGATCACCTTTGTGTGGGCTGTTTCTTTTCAGACTGGATCAATTTTGTGTAGTCAGTGTGGCCTTGAACTAACAGAGATCCGTCTACCTCTTAATTCTAAATCCTGGGATTAAAGGTGTGTGCCACCACTACCTGACCTCTACAACTTGTGGCTGACTTTGCTTTCTGAATCCTCAGGCAAGCTTTACTAAATCATAAGTAACATCACCACAGAGAGGGAGGCAGCACGAGTGGTCTTAAATATGGCTGAGCTCTCCTTAGCCACTTTCACGGGGCTTCAACTGTCTGTCTCCTCATCACTGGATGCCATGGAGATATCAGATATCAGACCTAGAAGGGGTGGAGATAAAGGAGAGGTTTCCCATTTTGTAGAGGGAGACAGCAGGTGAGCAACAGTCAGAAGATGACAGTCAACAGGGGTGGAAAATTGTGTCAGACGTTTATGTTTTACACTTAGTGGAGGACTGCTGTGGGTTTTCAGGACACAGCCATATGCCCACACAGTGTCTCCTGGATGAAGGACAGCATTTAGGAGCCAAGCCTTGGTTCCACCTCCTGGTGGTGGTTAGCCCTTATGTGGGGGTACCAGGCAAACCAAAACAGAAAAAAAATTGTGTGCCTTCTTACCCAGACAGGCAGACAAACATGACAAACACAAAAGAAGGAAAGAAAGGAGGTCCTAATGCTTACCTCTCAAAGGGACTGAGAGAACACAACATCGAGGGGCCTTCTCACTGAAATACCCCATCTTGGGAGTGCTTTCCAGAGCCACTAGTGAGGAGAGGGAGCTGACTAGACCCCCCAAATTACAGTCATGACACAAAAAAAGAGACTCTGATCAGGCGAGCTCAAAACATATGCTAGAAATCTCTGTTCCGGGTGTCAGATGTTGTTGGTTTCCGACAGCTCCCTCAAGAGAGGGGGTGAGAAGGCACAGCATCAATGGCTCAAACACCAGGAATCAGGTGTAAGGAAACAGCGGACTATTTGGGGAAAATCTTATATACCCTCCCAGCAACCAGGCCTTCTGATCCATTGACATTGCATGGTCACTCCTCATTGGCTAAGCATGATCAGGACCTCTGCCAGTGCCTGTTGCTAAGCCTCAGGCAGCATTGCTTGCTCACCACTCATTGGTTAGGCACAATCAGGACCTCAGACAGAGCCAGGAAGACTCCTGGTTGGCTCATCTCTAGGCCTGGTAGGCCTTAATTTCCTCCATACTTGTATTATTTATTGCAGTTTAATGCTATATTTTAATGCTTTTGGGGAGGCTTATGAAAAGAGTAATACACATAGTGGGCACCCATGAACTGAAAACTCATGTCTCTCCTTTATTTCATTTCCTCCTGTCCCACTAAAGATACCTGTATTTCTAAATTCTTATAAAAAGATTTCCTTTCATGAATGAATATTATTTTATGCTTGTGCTTTATTTTACAACAGTGAAGGGATGGTTAATTGTATTCCTATAATGAGAACCAATACGTAGCCAGTATAGTTAAGATATCTTTATTCAGATAAACACTAGCCAAATGCAAGCCAGAGCATGCCAGGGACAGAAAGGCAGATAGGCCAGAGAGAAGGGTTCCCATGTGCTTTGCCATCCCTTAAGACCCCCTCCCACATCATCCTGACCTCACCTTGACCACCATATCCTGACAGGCATGGTCAGGCATACCTGTAGCCAGCCTCTGACAGGCATGCCTTACTGTCTCCTACAATTCCCCTTTTAGTTTAAAAGAGGATTAAAACTTAACAGATTAAGGTATCCAAAATTAACAATCATAAAGGTGAAATACAAGAAGATACAATAATCTGCTGTTGCATATCCTAGCTATCTCTATTTCAGCTAAACCCTAAAGTCATCTGAAAAAGGTGTCCAAACTGAACACCTCCTTCCAATCCCAACCATAAACAATAGGAAAGTTATTCCTAACTAGGCTTATATTATCCTAATAGACAATAATGGTGGATGGGGCATAGCATCCTCCAAGTTACTTCCTGCTGAAATGGGATGATGATAGCCTTGTGGGGTCCTGTGGGAAGAAAATGTTAGTATAGTGAAAGTCTCTAATGGATTATATCCAGTCCATGTTAGATGGGATTTGCTTGATTGAAGATCTAGGTTGAAATCCTCAACTTGATTGAAGTCAGTACTCGAAGCTCTGGTCGGAGTGTCAGTTGAAATGAAATAATTTGGATCCAGTGCAGTTGAGGAGGTATGGCCCAATTTCTTTTCTGGAACATCCAGGGATTGCTATCAGGCGGGTCTTCATTGGCTGTGTGGGACTCAAACATAGGTGTTAGTTGAGAAATGTTTGCTTGTATATGAATGCATGCTGGAAAAGGCAATCATGGAAAAATAATGATTGTGAGACGGTGTACACCTTGAAGGAAAGAGCCAAATTCTTTTCTTGTTCTATATTACATCAATTGGCTTCCTGATACAATACAGAAACTCTAAAGTTTAGTTAAACAACGTGCTTGGATTTTAGGGGAAGAAAGCCAAATCCAGCTCTAAATCCAGCATTGATTTACTTGGATAGGGACTAGAAAAATAAAGACAAATAGAGTTATTTGAGAGACAGCTGGAAAAGTTTACCATGTGGTACCTTCCTTTTGTTTGATGGTTATAGCTACATTCTCTTCTTAAGCATCTACCCATGTAGTGTTCTTGGATTTCTGGAAATGATTTTTCCTATGAAAATAGAAGCGAAACACTTCATTTTCCTTTGGGAGGTTTCTATTTAGTTTATGAGAAATATCTCAGTAAAATACCTGTCACTCGTCCTTGTCAAGAGGCTTGTCTTTTTCAACTCCAATCTTGATCAACTTTGATGGTATCCAAAGTATTTCTTCCCCTGTGGAAACAAATACAAAACCTCTACCCCAATGTAACACATGCCCAGGCTTCCATACCGAGGTTAGTACATCTTTGAAGTATACTGGTTGATTCAGTTCAGCAGTTTTTCCATAGTCCAGTGTCTTTCTGCAGCTGTTTGGCCTCTGTCATTGGCATTAAAAAAGTTTAGTGTCAATAAAGCATTATGCAACCTATGTTTGGGGGGGGGGGTTGAATTACAAGCCTGTCTATGGAGCATCTCCTTAAGTATCCTATTAGATCTCTCAACCACTGCATGTCCTGTAGGATTGTGTAGTATACCTGTGACATGCTTTATGTTATAATATTTGAAAAACTGTTCAATTTTTGTGGAGACATATGCTGGAGCATTGTCAGTTTTTATCTGTGCAGGTATACCCATAACTGCCATCACCTCTAGAATGTATGTAATAACAGAACCAGCTTTTTCAGAGTTGAGAGCAGTAGCCCATTAGAACCCTGAGAATGTGTCAACAGTATGATGCACACATTTCAAATTTCCAAATTCTGTAAAGTGAAAGACATGCATCTGCTAGATCTCATTTCTCTGAATGCCCTTAGGATTACAGCCTGCTGGCAGTGGAGTTTGGTTATAAAAAGAACAAGTAGGACAGTTTCTCACTATCTCCTTGGCTTGTTGCCAAGTGATGGAGAAGTCCTTTTTTAAACCTTTGCTATTTACATTATTTTTCTTTTATGAAATTCTGAGGCTTCTAGCACACTACCAATTAAATAAACAATCAATCTCGTCATTGCCTTGTGCTAGTGGGCCTGGAAGACCCATATGGGATCTGATATGCGTAATGTATAGAGGATTGCTTCTGTTTCTGATTGTTTCCTGTAATTGTAAAAACAATAAGGTTAATTCTTATTATTAGTAATGAATTCTGCAGTCTCAATGTATAAGACAACTCTCTCTGCATATTGGGAATTAGTAACTATATTAAGAGGTTCTGTAAAATCCATAAGCACCATGAGAATTGCATATAATTCTGCCTTCTGTACAGATGTATACCGACTTTGAACTACTTTACTTACCTCACCTGCTTTATAACCAGCCTTACCTGATTTGTTGGCATCAGTGTAGAAAGTGAGAACTCCAGAAATGGGAGTTTGTCTTACAATATGTGGAAGAATCCAGACTGCCTTTTTATGAATATAATTCTGTCTGTTTTAGGATAGTTGTAGCTAAAAAAGTCAGTAAGAGCTATTTGCCAATATTCATTATCCTTCCATAAAGAGGAAATTTCTTCATTAGTTAAAGGTACTATAATTTCTGCTGGATCTTTTCCAGTCAATTGACGAAGTCTTAATTTTCCCTTTAAAATCAAATCAGAAATCTTTTCTATATATGTCTTTAAATTTTTATTCTTTTATGTGGCAGAAACATCCACTATAATATATATCTTGCCTCTGCATCAGAATCCCAGGATATTCTCTGGATGGTTCAGGGCTGCTGTCGAGTGCATGTGGCTAGCGGTAAATTAGCGTGCAGCTGCAGCAGCAATATTGCTGCCTGGGGCAATAAAACCCACGTAGGCCTGTGATAGATTTAAACTCTCCCGGTGGGGTGGATGGTGGGCAGGGACTGAGTCTGGGGCTGGAGAGATGGGCTACAGGGTGAGAAGGTTTAACTCACTGTTTTAGGTTATGCACACAGGTGGGTCGGAGCAAAGAGGAGACCTTGTAATGCAGTGGTATCCTATGGTTCTCGTGTCACTCAGCTTCTGGGCTGTGCCCAGCAGGCTCGTAGGAAGCCGCAGGAAGGCAGAATGGGCTGTGGATTTCAGGGCGCCACTTATAACGAGATCCAATCTGTTGTCCATATGTTTAAGATATCTTTATTCAGATAAATACCAGCCAAACGCAAGCCAGAGCATGCCAGGGGCAGCAAGGAAGCCAGGCCAGAGAGAAGGGCTCCCATGTGCTTTGCTGTCCCTTAAGACCCCCTCCCACATCATCCTGACCTCACCTTGACCAAGTCCTGACAGGCATGGTCAGGCACACCTGTAGCCAGCCTCTAACAGGCATGGCTTACTGTTCCCTACATATTCCCCTGAGAGTATCTTTTCCTGTGTTTAGTTTTATGTCTGAACGATTCATACATGTTTTGACATGAAGCTCTGGTTTATTTTCCACACACTGTAATACTTCATAATATAACACTATGCATTATTCTGCCTTCTGTCGATGTTTGCTCTGTTTTTAGTTCTCTCTTACTACAAACAGGGTTGGTATTAATGTCTGCTGAATGTGTGCAATTTTCTCTTGGGTGTAGATTGTCTGGGTCATAAGAAAATAGAAATAGTAAAATGTTAATGTCTACTACCCATAACTCCCGCTCTAGTGCTATGGAATATTAAAGATGTGTTACATTTGTTTATGCGGTAGAACATTTGTTTAATGATGCAAAGATGTGTTGTATTATATTATGTTGCATTTGTTTAACTCTGTGAAGCTGTGTTACTTTGCCTGTCTAAAACACCTGATTGGGCTAATAAAGAGCTGAATGGCCAAAAGTGAGGCAGGAGAAAGGATAGGAGGGGCTGGCAGGCAGAGAGAACACATAGGAGGAGAAATCTGAGGAGAGAGATCGAGGAGCAGAATAAGGAGGAGGACTCCAGGGATCAGCAACACAGCTACACAACAAGCCATGATAAGAAGTAAAGAAAGGTATACAGAAACAGAAAAGGGTAAAAGCTCAGAGACAAAATATAGATAGGGTAATTGAAGCTAAGAAAAGCTGGTTAGAAATAAGTCAAGCTAAGACCTGACATCCATAAGTAAGAATAAGCTCTTTGTGTTTTATTTGGGAGCTGGGTTGCAGGCCCCTAAAGAGCAAAGAGTAAGTAAAAAGCAAACAAAAGAAACAACTACATTTTAGAATGTACTTGGGCCAATTTATAGCATCTCTAGCACTGTATCAGAACTCCTGTTGGTCACATGAGACAGAGTTTGCAAAATGAACAGACACAGAAAACTACTTATTTGCTTTCTTCCTTTTTTATTGTTTTTGTCCTATCCTCTCTCCACTCTTTTTATTCTGGTGTTGATTCTGAAGATCACTGTACTTGTTCAGTTGAATATTCTCTAGTGATATGCAGGCCTCCTGCTCTCTGAAACCCCATTTGCAAAGGTATTCTTAGGATTGTTAAAGAGACTTTAAAATTTCTCAATTATCTTTACTTTCCTAGTCAGTCTGCTCTATTCCTGCAAGACTGGTGGGTTTTCCGTCATCATGCGGTGGGGGTGGTCCTCTTCACAGGGAAAGCTAAGCCATGGCCTCGGATGCACTGTCTCGGTGTGTGCAGCAGGCATCTTCTCTTCTACCAACAGAGTGCTCTTGAAAATCATTGCTGAGGATGAATTGGCTGCATGTTCTAAGCCACAGGCCTTCTGTCCATGTGAATAACCATTCAAAAATTCTATCTTTTTTAGGTCGTTCTGCACACAATTGCTGTTAATCACTGTCAAGCCCCAGTGCTGTGGCCACACAGATTCGATAATACAGGAAGAAAAATGCCACTTAATGCATATGCACTTGACTTCTATAAGCATGGGTCCCTTGTGGGATTAGTACAGGACAATGGGTATGCTCTCTCCTGATAATAACAAGAAAGAAGAGGTGGAGGGCTGCTGGGGGCTGGGGGAGGGGAGAGAGAGGGAGAAGGGATTGACATGCATAGCAGGCTTGTTTCTAATTTGAACTAATAAAAATAATTTCTTGGGAAAAAATAACAAGAAATCATAAGCCCTGCCAAGCATATTACCTTTTCACTTTCAGACTGATGGAAAAGATGATGATATACTCTATACTATTTTTTATTTCTAGTTTGTCAGCAAAAATTTGGCATTTAGGCCAACTCACTTGGCCTAAATATATATTCTAAATGTATCTCTTTGTCAATATTTGGGTATATCTTTATGTTACAGTTCTACCTAGGCTAATTGGTATTTTATGACTAATATCAACCTGGTGTTGCTTAATGCCTGAAAGAATATAAAGTATCTAATTTACATATCCGGTTCTGAGACAATTATTTTAGTTTGTTGCCAGGGAAGCCATTTCTATAAGTATAAGCAGGACTGATAATTGTTTAGGCCACTCTGCATACAATTGCTGTGGACACAGTGTTCTGGCCCCAAAAGTTGGACAGCCATGGAAGAAAACTGCCATTTAACACATATGCACTGGACTTCTGTAAGGATGAATCCCTTGTGAATTTGACCAGATCAATTGGCATCTTCTCTCTTGATAATTTCAAGAAACAACTAGTCATGCCAAGCATATTAGATATTCAAATGCAGTGAAATATTCAGAGAAATATCTCTAAGCAGGGAGATATTGGCCCAAGTGCTAAACACATACATCTAGGGGCAAATACACTAAGGAATTAAATGTACAGTTGACATAAAAATTGAGCAATCCTTATTATGTTAAGGTATGAAAAGTTTTGCTAGTCCTCAGAAACCTGGAACACTCTTGTCTATTGAACCTGATTTATTAATGTGAATAAAATAGCTTTTACATTAGCAGATTATATTTTGTTTGTTTTTAAAACTTATCCATTGATAATTTCATATCTGAATAGAAGCCGTTATGACTACCACCCCACCCCCACATTTCTGTATATCTTCTCAATTGTATCCTTTAAACCCAGAAAATCAGCCTCCCATTTTTGTATCTTTGAATTTTGTTTTGCTTTTGTTTTGGGACTCACTAAGTTTTACCAGGGGCACCTGTGGGTGTGGAACACAGAGACTCACCTGTGACTACAATACTAAAGATAAATGCTTCTCCTTTCTTCAGCTCATAGAGCCCTGTTCCTCCCTTGGGAAACTAGTTGTCTATGAACCCATCTCTCATCCATGACTGAATGTTAATGGTCACAGTCTTATGCAGGCAAACTTAGCTGCTGTGAGTTCATGAATCATGCCATGCCCAGAAGACTGCATTTCATGACACTCCCCTCATATCCATCTCTTATTTCTTTTTGTGTCCTCTTCTGTGATGTCCTGCATTGGTGGGGTGACATAGATGTTCCAAATATATATTAGTGCTCATAGTCACTTACTCTCACCACTTTGATCAATTATGAGCCACCCATTGTAAAAAAAACAAAAACAAACAAGCTCCCCAAAACACCAAAACAAACTAACAATCAATCAGCTGTGATTATGGCTAAGACAGATGGACTTTATTGGTGTAAACAATAATTGTAAATAATTTTGTGTAATTAATTTCAGTTTTTCTGTTGTTTAGAATACATCAAGGGGAAGCTTACCATTTGTTGAAAGATTTTTTCCTTACCATTAAATCTATCAGGTATGTTATATGCTTAAATATTACTTTCCTATTTTTTTGAAATTTATTTATAATTTGAAAATATTGAGATTTTTTTCATGATGCAGGTGTCATTGAGCCTGTTAGATACCGCATATTTCAACTTCCCAGAGGGTTTGTAGAGTTCTCCATCCCCACCAAAACTCATGGTATTGTAATTAATTCCATAGAATTTTAAGGTCCATCCAAATAGAGTCTCAGACTCAAGAAAACTATTCCAGGGAATCACTGATCTCAGATCCTAATATTGTCAATGATCCCCATTGCAAAATCATGTTAAATACATGATGTTTCTGAGGTGCTGTCAGGCTTCTGGGTTACAGCATGTGATTGCTCTTGAATATCTTTCTATAACCTATAATTTTCTTCAGGGTTTGTCTGACTGTCAATGCATAGTCATTTCCTGTTTTGATCTGCAACAAAGCCCAGTTAATCACAAGCAATATCAAACTTTATGTGAGCACCCCATCCTTAGGCTCCATGGCCATATAATGTTACCTAGTTAACTGAGCATCATCGTAACCCCTCAAATCTAAATTCATTTAAGCATTTTAACAGTGGCTCTTTATTTTATCACAGTGACCATAAATCTCATCATTATTGCTTCCTTAATAAGCATTTCTTTGTTTCATTTCCTTTATTAGAGCTGAATTAGGCCTATATGGACTTTTTATATGCACAGAGTGAATTTGGTACATACAAGAGCAGAAGGGAATGCAACCTCATATCCTCCTGATATGATGACCCCCCAAGCACCAAATTATCTTATTGCTACTTCAGAACTGGAAATTTGCTACTGTTTTGAAACACAATGTAAATATATGATATGCAAGATACCACAGATCTATAGCATCTCTATGCAAGGTGGCTTCTAGTTACCCAAGGTATAACCTTAAGAACAGTACAAAAGCCCCCAGAGATACTAGAGCTGTGTCCAAATCCAGGCTTAAGAAAAATAAACATTCATTCATTCATCTAACCAGTGTGGGTGTTATTGTTTTGAGACACTTTCAAAAATTTGAGGTACAAGGATTGTTAAATCTATTACTAGCCTTTTGGAAAAAAAAACAAACCTTACAGTCCTTGTATTAGTTAATATTCTATGGCTGTGATAAAACAACATGAACAAGGCAACTTACAGGGAAAAGCACTTATTTTGGCTTATGGTTCCAGGGAAATTTGAGTCGGCTTCAGGAAGATAATTCAATGTTAGATTTTAGAATTTTGGCTACATATTTTGAGTATCATGAAGACAGGGCAATAGGACTGAGTGTGGCATGTATCTACAGCCTGTATACATGGTAGAGATATGTCAGATATATATGGTAGAGATATGTCAGATTGTCTCAATGTCTGTAACAGTAAGGGTGGTCAGAAATGAATGATGGCCTGAATTAAGGAAACAGAAATAATAATTCAGAATATTAACTTGACAAATACCTATAATTGAAACATTAATACTGAAGTTATTAATACTGAAGAATATAGTAGGTCATGTTGACCAAGGTTTAAATTGTTAATCTCTCTCTCTCTCTCTCTCTCTCTCTCTCTCTCTCTCTCTCTCCACACACACACACACACACACACACACACACACACACACGCACTATATGACATTTGTGGGGAAGTACACAAAACAGTGAGTTAGAATTTATGTTTGTTGTGGACATCTATCAGAGGACATAATAACAATGATTAGTCTGTAACTGGGGGAGGAATTAATGTTGCAGATGGATATTTCATTTTTGGTGGTAGATCAATAAAGACCTGGGGAAGATGGATCTCTAGTTGGGACAAAACACTAAACAATGAACAGCAACTAAGATGTCAGATTGTACTTGATTTCAACCAGGGCTACTAACTGTGAACTGTTCAGTTCTATGATTCTTCTTCCTTTCTTCATGCCTGTACATGAGTTTCTTAATGCTGATGTAACGAATTATCACATAATGACATAAACCTATATTAATGTATCATCTTACCATTCTGGAAGTCGGAAGTCAAAAGTATGTCCCACTGGGTAAAATTAAGCATCTAGATGCTTAGCTATTTCGCAACTTTTAGAGGTCACCTGCTTACCATTTCCTTCTGACTTTGAGGCCAAGGATGTTCGGTAGAGAGAGCTGAGATTGCATATCAGATGTCCACATTTCACTCCAATGACATTAGTCTCTCCTTCCTCACACCCAGGAGCACTTTTATAGAATTCCATTCTACCTAGAGAATCCAGCATAACTACCTGAGTTCAGAATGAGCTGTCATCTGGGGCTTCATCTGTGATGGTGATTGCCCTTTGCCATGGGGCCTAAAGTGATTATAGGTTTGTGAGGATTTGGGGAGGACATCTGAATTGGATGAGGACCATTATTCTACCGATCACGTCTCACATTCATTTTTTCCTCACCTACCTAGAGAAAGGAGGCTTTCTTCTCCATAGTGGATTACAGTATATTCTGGATACAGCAGCACAGAAAACACAAATATGTCCATGAGACATGCAGAAAAAATAAAAGAAATTTGTGCTATGCTACCGAAGGGAGCAAGGACCAAATGATATAGAATTTGGTAGCCTTTTACTCACCCTTTGTTAATAAAGACACTGCATGGAACACCTTGTCATATTTTCCCATTTCTTTTTTCTTTTTTGTATATACATAATTTGGTTAATAAACTTGTTTCTTATTAATATTTCTTATAATTTGATAGTACTATTTCATCTTTTCAGGACAGTATTTTTAAACAATACTCAATGCCATTTAGTTGACTAATAATATATATATGTGTATACTTCTATTTGTAGTGTCTCCTTGCGTGAACTGTGCGAAAATGAAGAGGACAACGTTGTTTTAGCATTTGAACAATTGGTTGAGTCCTTCAAAGAAAAGTTTGAAAAAGTGTGAAAAGAAAAACCATGCAAACCACTTGAAGTATCAAAGACGCTTTGCAAGTTACATATTTTTTATTCTTATATCTTGTTCAGAAAATCCTACACAATGGAATGGAATGAGCAAGCAGTTTGGAGTTAAAGAATTGACATAGAATTTGCTGTGATTGACTCTGAGCACCCTTGACCACACTCCTTGGTGTGGCTAAGTCTTGGTTTCTTTAAATGATCAACTAAAATGTCTATGTCTCTAAATTATTGAGTATTGAATGAGAAAATGCAGGATTTTGCATATACATGTTTGCAGACATTTTACACTCTGTGAGACCCAAACAAATATTGCATTTAAATGTTTTCACTGTTAATATATGTAAAAAGTTTATTGAAACTAGGAAACAAATGATTGCAGCATTTTGAAAGTATAATATATTCTTCCCAATCAACATAAAGGGATTGTGCTGCTTAGATGATAGCTACTGAAATAGTACAACTTAGTAAATAAGCTACTTGTAAAAAATTGAATGTTTTTATTTAATTTGTGTGGTGCTTTAAAAGAAAACATGTAGTTAGTGTTCTGCTTCATTTTAATTGTATATACATGACTGTTGAAATAATGACTTCATTGGCTTCATTTCCGTGAAATATATTCATGTATCACTTGCACACTACCATTCATTCTGTATAATTATTTACATAGAATCATTCTATAATTGATGCCTTAGTCTCACTTCTCAACTCCAGTATCTGTTTAAAATACTCAACTTGAACTACAACACTGAATCCGCAAAACAAAGATGAGTCCAATGCTCTTTTTGGTGTCACGATAAGCAGATTGTAGTGGCTCTAAATAACAAACAAACAAAAAATAAACCAGTTATGGTTCATTTATTCCTGAAGCAGAAACATTCTGATTATTGGAAGTTATGTACCATTTCATGAGTGTTGTTAGAAATCTCTTCCTTGGTGGTAGTAGTGGGGGGGGGATGCAATTTAAACTGTTTTCATTCTTTAAATGCTACAACAGTACAGTAAAGCAAGGCACTTAGTAAAGCAGGGTCCTGCCTAGCACCTCCCAATTGCCACCCACTGGAATGTTACACAATGTGAAATTTATTGTCATGTTAATTTTATCTTAATGCTGTACTTAGGAATCCAGATTAGAAGTGAAGATACCTTGCTCCCCTGTGTGTATAAACTAATTTGGCTTCTAGATTTTTAGAAGAGTGAGGTCATTTTTGCTGTCTGGAATCTTCTTAAAAGTGCAAAATTATATGTAACATCTTTGAGGTGAGTCCCCCGAAAGTGGGAGAGGGCTGCTTCTTTAGTCTTTAGCTAAATCTAAAGAGTAAGTAGGAACAATTTCTCAAGAGTGGGTTTAAGAGAATTACATCAGCAAATGTTGGAGCCCAGAAAATGTAAAAAAAAAAAAAAAAAAAAAAAAAAAAAAAAAAAAAAAACCTACAAACCTGTATGATACTTTTCTAGAATACTTCAGAACTAGGTAGAGGTTATGATGATTCCCTGGACCCCAGAGAGGAGAAAAACAGAAGATAAGAGAAATGATATATTGGACCATGATGCTCTTCGCTCCAAGTTGACAGGTTTCATACATGGAAAATGCCCCAGACTTAAGCAGGTTCTACACTGGAGAAAGTGAGTTCAAGGTAGACAAGCTTTAGCATGTCTCCTAGGTCTCTATACATGGAGTTCACTCCCATGACTGTCTACAGAAGAAGAACAGCATTGTTCTAGGCAAATAAAGTTCAGGATATGACTCTAATAGCAACAAGACCTGAAGTCGACAAGATTGTATCAAGCTTTAAATTTCTGCATAGCAAACAACCAACAGAAACAGAGAAAACACCTATAAACTATTTATCTGAAAGGGGGGTTAAATAAAGAATATACAAGGAACTTGAAAAACCTCAATCATAAAATACCCCAGTCACAGAAAGTGAAAAAATGACATAAAAAAACATCTATCAAATGTGCATGGATACATGAAAAATACTCGTGTAATAACTAAGGAAATGCAAATTAGAACTACATTGAAATATATAAACCCAATTGACTGTGTCAAAAAAGGCAGAAATAAGATGAAATTCTGCAGACATTTTGGAGAAAAAGGAACTCATGCACTTTTTTGGATGGGAATATAAATTAGTACAACTATTTTGAAAAACAATGTGGATGTTCCTCAAATATATAACACACACACACACACACACACACACACACACACACACACACACACACACACAGGTTTATATATAGAGACTCATTATGTCATCTCCAGATCCACTGCTAGAAAGTCAGATATTTGTATATGTAGGCTACTTGTTGCATTCCTCACAATAAGACAGATGTATAGCATAATAAATATGTGAAGTTACATCAACAACAAAAATATGATTGGAACTGGAGGATAGTATGTTAAATGAAATAAGCCATGCATGGAAAGACAATGCACACAGAAGTTGAGAGAGTTGGGGAAGCAAAGTAAAATATTGGTTATTAGAGGCTGGCAAGGGTCTGGAAAGTAGAGTAGAAAAAGATGGGACAAGTAGAAGGGAGCATTCGTTTGGAGAAATACCTTCTAATTCTCTATTGCACAATAGGAGTCAACTAATTACATGTTTCAAAATAGAAAATAGAATGTTTATTTCCGACCACAAAGCAATGATAAATATTTGATGATAGACATGCCAATTCCCCCAATCTGATTGTGATACATTGCAGTGAAATGTCACTTTGTATTCCTTATATAACTTCATTCTGTTAAAATAAAAAATATACTGAAAACATCAGTGGCCTTCCTTTTTTCCCCCCGAGACAGGGTTTCTCTGTGGCTTTTGAGGCTGTCCTGGAACTAGCTCTTGTAGACCAGGCTGGTCTCAAACTCACAGAGATCCACCTGCCTCTGCCTCCTGAGTGATGGCGTGTGCCACCATTGCCCATCTCAGTGGCCCTTCTTTTTGTTTGGTACAAGAGACCGCTTCCTGAACATTACACCAGTAGCACAGACATTGAGGTCAACAATTGATAAATGGGACCTCCTGAAACTGAGAAGCTTCTGTAAGGCAAAGGAGACAGTCAGCAAGACAAAACGGCAGCCCACAGACTGGGAAAAGATATCCACCAACCCCACATATGACAGAGGGCGGATCTCCAAAATATACAAAGAACTCAAGAAGCTAGTCTCCAAAACACCAAAAAATCCAATTAAAAAGTGGGGTACAGAACTACACAGACAATTCTCCATAGAGGAATCTAAAATGGCTGAAAGGCACAAAAGAACATGAACAACATCCTCAGCCATCAGGGAAATGCAAATCAAAACAACTCTGAGATACCATCTTACTCCTGTCAGAATGGCCAAAATCAAAAACACCAATGACAGTTTACGTTGGAGAGGATGTGGAGAATGGGGAACCCTCCTCCAGTGCTGGTGGGAGTGTCAACTTGTACAGCCACTTTAGAAATCAGTATGGCGACTCCTCAGGAAAATGGGAATCAGTCGACCCCAAGATCCAGCAATTCCACCCTTAGGCATATACCCAAAAGAAGCACATTCATATAACAAGGACATCTATATTTTATATATATGATTGTTTGTCTGCCTGAATGTTTGTATGTGCACCACACCCATGCCTAGTGCCTGTAGAGCCAGGAACAGGTGATCTCCTGTGATTGGAGTTATAGTTGTGAACCACCATGAAGATTTTGGGATCCAGTTCCAGCTTTTCTGCTAGGGCAGCAAGTACTTTTAACCACTGAGCTATTGCTCCAGCCCTATTCAAGGGCATTTCTTCATGTTAAGGATACACTAGAAAAATCTGCAAAATTCTATTCACATTAACTTCAAAAACTAAAATAATTAGCAGTAAATTCAATGAAGGAAGGGATAAATCTCTATGATGAGAAACATAAACTATAAAAGAGACTGAAACAGAGATAAATGAATAGAAAGGTATCCCACACTGATAGATTAGAATAAATATTTCTAGACGTTAAAGATATGCAAGTTGATCTACAGAGTACAGTAATACTTATCAATCAAAACTCTAAAAATTATTCTTAAAATTTATATGGAACTTCAAATTATTAATTAGCCAAGTCAATTTTAAGCTTAAGGAGAAAAGCCTGGACTTTGGGAAATTGTTCAGTTGGTAAAGTGCTTACAGTTCAATCATGAGAACCTGAGGTTATCTTCCAGAACCAACATCAAAAAGTCCAACATGGAGGCCCTCACTTGTACACACAGTGCTGAGGAGGTGGAGGCAAGAAGATGGCTGGTGTTTGCAAGTCAGACAGCTTAGCTAGGTTAGAGTTTCTGCATCAGTGACTGATCTTGTTGTCAAATAATGTGGAAAGCAACTGAGAAAGAAACAACTGGTATTGGCTTCTGGCTTTCATATGCATGCATGCTTCCATGCATCTGTAAACACAAATTCATGCACATACACATACACACATAAGAAGAAACCAGAGGCATCTTATCTCTTGATCTTAATATATTCTACAAAGCTGTAGCAAGGAGAACAGAATGGCACAGACCTAGGTGAATCTACTAAAGGAACAGAACAGAAATTCCAGAAAATAAACCCACATATAGTTAACTGATTCTCAACAAAGAGCTAAAAATATGCTTCGTGCAAAAGACAGTGGCTTCATTAGAACATATTGGTGAAACAGGACTCATGCACAAAAGCTGGAAATTGTACCAGCGTATCTCACAAAGTCAAAAATTAACTCAGTGTGGATTAAAACACGAACCTAGGAGGTCACTAATCACCATGGAAATTTCATTCAAACCACAAGGGCTTAGTTCACCTCACAAATCAAGAGATAGTAGGGATCTGGTAGGGAAAAGACCTTCTGTAAATATGTTTTTCATATTAGTTGATGAATAAAACACTGTTGGCCAATAAGGAAGGGACTAGGAGAGAGGAGGATTCTGGGAAAGACAGAGAAAGCCAGGCAGCAGAGTCGCCATGCTGCTGAAGGAGTTAACAACCTGCTAGGGCATTACTGGGTAAGCCACAGCCTCATGGCAATACATAGATTGATAGAAATAGGTTAATAAGACAGAGCTAGCCAATAAGAAGCCCTAGCCACTTGCCAACAATTATATAACTAATATAGAATCCTGTGTTTATTTTGGGCTCTCAAGGGTGACGGGACTCAGTGACCTATGTCTATGTATCTATGAAGATGCTGTGATGAAAACCTTCACTTTGCATCCTAAGTTAAAATTTTAATTTAAAAAGTGGGAAATAGGGATATTCTATTATTGATTTTAAAAATGAATTTTTTCTTTTCCTTGTTGAACTCCAACTTTTTCTCATTCTAGAACTTGTTTTCCATTCTTAAAGGATAGAGCTAGAAAAAAGATCCTTTTTTTTCCTGCATTGGATGACATTTTTTTGGCTTTATCTTCACCGTTGAAGAGTACTTACCAACCAGTAAGTTGCCATAGCACTGAGAGATCTTGTGTCAAGGTGATGAGACAGACAATGATTGACATCCTAAAGATATCCTGTGACCTCTGCATGTGCTAGTATTCTTGAATACATGCAACATATATGCACACACTCTCTTACATTCACACATTCACTCACACTCTCCCCACTCTCACATACATATGCTCTCACATACACACACTCATTCTCTCTCACACACACTCTCACACACACACACTCATTCTCTCTCTCACACACACTCTCTCTCTCATACACTCTTTCTCCTACACATAGTCTCCCACACACTTTCTCCCACATTCTCTCACTGTTTGTCCCACACACACACACACACACACACACACACACACACACACACACACACACACACACACACATTCAGAAAAAGAAACTGAGAAAACTTTGAAGTCTTTGCTGCTGATCTTAAAGCATGAAGATAAACATCAATGAGAAATCCCTGTGCCAGTCACTGAAGTTCCCCTTTCCTCAAATATTCTCCAAAATTTGTTGTTTTTTGCTTTGTTGATCTTTTCCATTCTGTGGGATAAAAGAGAATCTCAAAATTGTTTTCATTTGTATTTCACTAATTGCTATTGATGATGAAGACAAATTAATTTACTTCTAGACTATATTTATTTCTTCTTTTGAGAATTCTCTGTTTAGAACCCAAGCCCAGTTTTTGACTACATTGCTTACTTTTTGTTTTGACTGTTTTTTGAAATTATTTCTATATTCTATGTATTAATCCTTTGTAAGAAGGACAGCTATCAAAGATTCTCTCTCCTTCTGTGACTTTTTCATGCAATGATTGTTCATTTAGCTATATAGAAGCTTTATAGTTTTATGGCCTCAATTCCTGGGTAAATGGGGTCCTATTCAGAAAGTCCATTCCTACACCTACATTATGTAGAGTACTGCCTATATTTTCTTCCAGGTTCAGGTTTCACATTTGAGTCTTTGATCCACTTGAAATTAGGTTTTGTGCAAGGTGATGAATACAGGTTTAATTTCGTTCTTCCACACGTGGACATCCACTTTCCCAGAACCATTTGTTGAAGATGCTATCTTGTGTTCAGTGTATGTTTTCGGAGTCTTTGTTGAATGTTAGATGGCTACAGTTATGTGTACTCATGTTTGGGTCTTTCATTTTATTCCATTGAACTTCATGTCTGTTTCTGTGTCTGCACCATATTTGCTTTTATTACTATGGTTCTACAATGTCTCAAAGTCTAGAATGTTAGTTCTTCCAACCTTATACTTTTTCTTAAGGTATGCTTGTAAATAATGAGCTTGAGATTTCCACTGGATTTGCATTGGATCTGCAAAGGGCTTTTGGTAGAATGGTCATTTCCATATTATTAAATCTGCTGATCAATAAGCATGGAATATCTTTTCATTTTCTAGTGTACTTTCCATATTCCTTAGAAATTTACAGTGTTTAATGTAGAAATCTTTCACCTATTTGGTTAGGTTTGTTACTAGACTTTTCTTTTTTGAGGCTATTTCAAATGGAGGGGTATCCATGATCCCTTTCTCTGTATGTCTGTTGTATGTATATAAAAAATCTATGTATAAGCATAAAAACTGCTAGAATAAAATAGGAAGTACCATATAGAATATGGGTGTAGGAAAGAATTTTCTGAATAGGACTCCATATGTCCAGCAATTGAGGCCAACAATCAACAGGTAGAACTTCATAGACTAAAAGGCTTCTGCACTGCCAAAGAACACAATGGATTGAGTGAAGAGGAAGGCCAAGTTGATGGCAAACTGGTCCGGCCACCCTAGAAATCAGTATGAGGAACTCCAAGAGCTAAAAACAAATCTTCCATATGGCCTAATTTTACTACCTCTCAGTATATGCCCAAAGGACTAGGCAGCATGCTGCACAGTTACTTGCATGGCCATGTTTTTGCTGCACTCTTCATAATAGTTAGGAAATGGACACAACTGGAGTGCCTCTCAACTGATATATGGACAATGAAAATCTGGATGTATTTATTATGACATATTATTCAGCCTCACAAAATTGAAATTATGAAATCCAGACATTAAATAGAAGGAATCAGAAAAGATATTGAGTGAGATAACCCAGGCACAGATAGACAACAGTCTTCTGTTTGTTAGTACCTTCAAATCTTCATATGCAAGTGTGGGCCTCACCCTTACCAAGGAAATGTCTCTTTGCAACAGAGACAATTACTGAAAACTACAACCTATCAAAATGTAGGTAATAAGTGGTGCACAGCCCCAATGGCTGCATCTACAACATAACTACTGCATCTGAGGCTCTGGGATCATTACAGATGATGGGGAAACATCTTGTAAAAGCCAGAGGATCAGGAAGTTTTCTCTGAGATTGTGCCTTCTAGAAATGTCAGAAGCTATGCTCATGAAGTCCCATCAACATTCCTGCCTAACGAGATCTGAATGGACATACTAACATGTAAGGGGAAAACAATCTCATGAGGCCAAAGCCCTAGAAAAAAACTCTAAGCAATCAGTCAAAGAGAGTAGCAAAAATAGGTTTTCCCTGGAAAGGGTCCCCACAACTAACTATCCAATGCAAAGTGGTTAGCCTGCAACTCATATATCTACAAGTAGCATTATATGGACTGAGAAGATTTTATTCATATGTTTAGGAATACACACACACGCACACACACACACACACACACACACACACACACACACACACCCTAAAAGTTAAAGAAAAAGAGGCCATGGGTTTGAGACAGAGCCAAGGTGAGCACATATGCCATGGTACATATGTGTCCATACTTTCTCCAAAATTTAAAACACTTCTAAAAAAAGTATCCTAACTATATATACTGGAATGACATTTACACAACCAAGGTATACATACAGATGCATGTGAACCCTTACTTTTCTATTGGGGCCCACATAATAATCCAGAAATATGCTCTAGCCAGCCACGAATTCTAAGAGTTCAGAACGTCTATTGTCTTTTAGATCCAGGCTAATTACCTCAGGATACCTGGCCTCTATTTTGTATAACTAAAGACCTGGACCAGGGTGAGTCCACACCCACCCTGAAGGCTAGTGAGAAGTGCTGATATAGAGTGTCCCAGGGCTTGAGTATGTGCTGCTTAGGAGTGTCTCTAGGGTTAAAGAAAATATTTCCAATCAGCCCTATATACATGATAACAGATGTCTTCTGCCATTGCCCCCACTTTTGGGTGGTTACTTAAGAGGATGCTTGAATAAACCGTAGTCTCCAGCATTGATTGGGAGCCCTCCTATTATGACCAGATGTCTCTGTCTCGTCATTAAAGTCATTGGCTAGCTAGACCTTCCCTCATCCACACTCCCCCACTCAGGGTCAGACCTAGGACTGTTCAGCTGGTTCTGATCACAGCCCCAAAGATAGCAGTCTAGAATAGGTGGCCCCTGAAGGGTGGGACTAATGCAGGCCAGACCCCAGCACTTTTCCACCCAACTAAATAATCCACTAAGTATAACTCTTGCTACACTTTACTTTTGACTATTTTAATTTAAAGACTATTCTAGTCTCACTTCAACTTTATTGCATTTGTTCAAGAGTCCAGGCAATTCCCATGAGGGTGGGCACACACTTCATTTTTATGGATTTCACACTGATACTGAAGACAGTCATGAGCAAACTTTCTTGTTGTAGGAACTTACAGTTCACATTTAAATAAAATATACTCCAATGCAATGCTTTTCTTACTCCATCATTATTTAATTCATTATTAATTGAGGAAGGGGTTCAAATCCAGGATTATATATTTGCAAAAGTAGATATTTTTGTCTCAGAATAATTTTAGAGATAGAAGAGTAATATGATTCTAGAGTTTTGTTTCAGTGTTGATAACAGCACAGATTCCACTGTCTATATCTGAGGTGTCTGTAAAGAGGGTTGCCAGACTTTTAAAGCTTCCCTCCTTCGCTAATTTTAATAGTCTTCCACATCACCAGCACAGATAGCAAGCAATGCTTTCTCATAGTGTCCGGAAGCAAAATTCTGAAAAGAAAAAAAAAATGCAGGCAATAGAAATCAACTCTCTCCATGTTTCAAAGAATCAACTGTAATTCTAATTGCAGTATGAGAGGTATGCGGACAGTAGTCTTCCCAAAATGATTAATGCTTTTGTCTAAAGATTTTCTGAGAATTGTTCAAAGTGAAACTTATTCAAAATAGTGTTGTGGTTATAGTCAATACAATATATTTTATATAAAGCTGATGGAGCTGTAATGTGTACTTGTGAACACAATAAGTAATGGTAAGATGAATCTTCTTTTCATCTTTAGGAGTTGGTACCCTAGCATTAATATAGTAATCTATGTAGTCTGGGCATTGTCAATGTGTTTCAAAAGTTCTGAAAATATTTACTGTTTAAGTCAGGCATCCAATAACAAGAACTGAATTTTAAAATTATTATCAATTATGAATGAGCACAGAGATTTATTCTAAGCACATATGCACCCTTATTGTTACATATCATTAAAATCTTACACATATCAATGAAACATATTATATATCAATGAAAAGTTGAAAAGCAGTGGATAATCATGTAAGAGTTTGTCTACTTCACAGTGTACTTCATACAAGAGAATTCCTGATTTAATAAAATCCTTCTTTTTGACAGCAAAATGTTATTATTTATGTGCTTTTGAAAAAGATCAACAGTGACTATCTTAGTTCCCTACAGCTTCCATAAATGAGGTGGCTTAAAATGTCAGAAATTTATGTCTGTTAGGCAGGATGGAAAATCAAGGTGACAACAGATTATTTTTGCTCACTGAGAGCATTCTTCTTCATAGACTCCAGCCTGACAGGGCAGAAGGGACAAAGTAGTATCCTGGAGATTTTTTTTTTAATTTATTTTATTTTATTTGTTTATTTTTTTGTGGTAATGAAACAACCTCATTGGCTCCACCTGCATGGCTGGTAGTCTCCTAACACTGTCTCCATAGGATTAGTGTTTCAGTGTAGGGATCTGGGGAAGCTTTTCTAGCCATAACAGGGCCTAGAAAAAAATCTCATTACCGGGTATCTACCCTAGAGAATTAGAACAATTTTGTTCTCTTTTTGTGTTCTTCCATCATTTCTAAATATTCCAGAACAGATGGCTTAATGAATGTCATTATAGAATCCATCTTCATAAAATCATTTAACATATTAATGATTTGTGTAATCAGTAAAATCAATTAACATATTGTTAATTATAATGCTGTGTAATTAAGACATGAATTTAAAAGTACTTGAATCATTCCAACTTGTCTTTGAGGCAGCTGGGAACAATGACAGGTAGTGTATGTGGGTTTGCTCATTCACTTAAAAACTGAGTTCTGACTATTTCTCAATGGTACATGTTGATCATCATTCAAAGTTCTGGGTTTTCAAGGTAGACATAATAAATATCTTATCAAATATGAAAAAACACGATTGATTTTAACTGATCTATCAATTTCTTAGAACACTTTGACTCCTACAAAGGGCTGGGAAACCTTCTGGATTTAATGTTTGAGATGTTGAGTCATATCTTGAATAACTCAAGAATCTAAAATGTTCTTTCTTGTGACTGGACATTTCATTTGAAAGCAATGTGGATGTACAAAGTATAAATTAATACAGTCTCAGGTACTATGTATGTTCTGATGCCCTATTCTCTCCATCCTGGAAACCTTTTTGATTTTATTTTGGAGGAATACTAAGTATTTTAATTTTACTTTCATATGGAGCCCTCAAATTATGTTGATGACCTATATATTTCAATTTTTGTCAAGTTTTAGAAAAACATTTAACTAAAGTTTAGAAAGATCAGAATAACACCCTGGCTTGCTTAGTTTTGAACTATTGTTTTCCAGGCTTTGCTTACTGAGGTGATTGGCCATGTAAAGTTTCCTACATTAATGACTTTCTCCAGATTAGCAGCTGATGGTGTTCTGCTGGTTGTATTGCCTTTTATGGTGCTATGAGGCATTCCCCAGTGAGCTAGGAATCCTTCCCACAGTTAATGCATCCTCACAGCTAAAGACAGTTTCCCGGATCCTCAGTGTTTTGTTTGTTTGCTTGTGTTCAGGGACAAGGTTTCAAGGAGTCTGCCCTAGTCTCTAGTTGCTTTTTAGCAGAGGGCTGACATTGTAGTCTTGATCTCTTGTGTCAGCCTCAATAGTTCTAGTGTGAAGGTTGCAGGTATAAGCACAGGTAACTGCCACACCCAGTTGGTTAGTCCTGTGTTTCTCATGTGAGAACTGAACCCTTGAAGTACAGTTATAGGGAGTGACAATTTTCTAGGATTATATCAAAGTGTTTTCTCAAAAGAAAAGAACAAAACATTTTATTTTCAGGGTGCACTGATTTCCCAGGATAACATTTGTTAATGCATCGAAAGCTGTCTGAATTCTTAAAGCTAATCGTCTTGGTCAGATATGTAGCTTTCGAGGTCCCAACATCAAGTTGCTTAAGTTAATGCTTTTTTTCATGGTCCAGAAAGAATAAAAAGTGAGTTAAATTAAATCATGACGAGAAGACTTACTTTGATATCATGAAACAGGGATTTTCCAAATCTCTCCTTGTAACGTTTCCTTATGGTCATCAGGTCGATTTCACTTCTGGCTATTAGAATCCTGATGACAGTTTTGTTATGAAAGCCAAAGTCCTAAATTGTGGAAAGGTGGGTAGAGAAAACAGTACTGTAAAGGGCTCTCCAACTTAGACTGATGTCCCTTTCAGAAACAATTTGATACCACTGCTGTGGGATGCCTGAAGCCTACCCCCAGGGATGTTCAAATATCCTTGAAATAGAGTAATGGTGACATCTGGTGGCCAGTCAGCATAACCTAACTTTTATTTCAGAACGTTTTGAGTGTCAATCTACTAACACACTGTATGATTTGGGGTGATTAAAACAAACCACCTAACGAAGTTCTTTTATTTTTAAAATGTAGGTCATTTGGAGTTTCTTTATGACAAACGAAGTTTTGGGGGGTAAAAACAGTTTTGTTCACAATACTTTGATATTCCAGCTCTTTATATATGAACTTTTGGATTACTTATATGTAATCTGCTTCAACTGCAAACCACTTGTCAATATAAGACCATTTTGCTTCCTAGAATACATAGAGTTATGATTTAATTTATGTGCTGTTAGAATGAGCTTTACTGAATCAGGGTATAGCTGGAATCAGAATAACTGGGATTATTTGCCCAGGGTAATTCACAGGGGATGCTTTAGTCTGCTGTTACAGTCATGGCTCATTGGGGAGAAATTGCTGAATTATCTTGCAGCATTGTTCAAGATGTTATTTTGCACAAAGCAAAGAGCTATGAACAATAGTATTTCTCTTGGGTGTTGAGACTGTGTACATGCTTATGTGTAAGTTAAGAAAACATCTATTTATAAGACTCATAATAAAAATGTTATTATTAGTAGTACACTTCCCCAACATGGTGGCAAATATCAAGAAGTTGGCCTGTAAAATGTCTTTGTTAATATTTTACTTACATATATGAAAATGTCATAATGATGCCTGTTATTCTGCATGAAATGTATGTATGTATGTATGTATGTATGTATGTATGTATGTATGTATATTGCATTAAGAATAGATGGCACTGGACATTGGTGGCACACACCTTTAATCCCAGCACTCAGGAGACAGAGGCAGGCAGATCTCTGTGAGTTTGAGGCCAGCCTGGTCTACAGATAGAGTTCCAGGACAGCCTCCAAAACAATACAGAGAAACTCTGTCTCAATAAAAAAAGAAAAAAGAATAACACATTCTGATCATTAAAATTTTATACTCTGCTCAAATCACTACACTATTGCATTTGGTAAAATTTTCCTTATTTTAAGGTTATGATATTTGTATAGTAACTTAATAAAAATTTCTTTAAATTTTTATTACATTTATTGTGTGTGTGTGTGTGTGTGTGTGCATGTGTTTCTGTATGTGTGTATGCATGTGTGTCCGCATTGTATCTGTGTATGTCTCTATGTGCATATTTGTGTGTGAGTGTGTGTGTTTGTGTGTGTATATGTGTGTATTTTTTGTGCATGTGTGAGTGTGTGTCTGTATGTGTTGTATGTGTTGGTTTGTTGATTTGTGTGTATATGTGTGTGTATGTATATGTGTATATGTATGTGTGTGTTTATGTGTGTTGTATGTGGATATGTGTTGGTTTGTGTGGATATGTGTATGTGTGTGCATGTATATGTGTATACACAGGGGTGTGTATATGTGTGTTGTGTGTACATGTTTTATGTGTGTATTTGCATGTGTGCATACATGAGTGTGTGTGCATGTGTGTGCGTTCTCTCTCTCTCTCTCTCTCTCTCTGTGTGTGTGTGTGTGTGTGTGTGTGTGTGTACCTGTGGAGGTCAGAGGGCAATTTGTTGCATTTGTTCTTTTAACCATATAGGTGCCAGTGATTGAAATCAGGTTGTGAGGCTTGGAGACAAGAGCCATTTCACTTGGAAACACTGAGCCATCTCACTAGTCCTATTTCTTCTTTAAGACAATTTCATAACATGATGGAGAAAGTGTGCATTATCTGATGAGCTTAAGTGTTCATGTTCTTAAAATGGACTGCTACAGGATGTGCAATAACACGTATCGAACTTTGCTATCAAACTTCAAAAAAACTTTGTTTTGCTAAGAGTTTACAATGTTTTGGCATTTCCTGTCATGTATCTTGTGCTTGCATATATGTGATGTAGAGTCTTTGAATATGTACAAACACATTTGGATTATGAGTTTATATAAATGGTCAGACTCTAATCTGTGTGAAGTCCCATATGCAGTATTGATAAATTTGCTTTGGCATTCATCTTGTTTCTTTTTACTTGAACATGATTTCTTTTAAATAAAAACAATTAATTTAGATGAATTCTAAACATGTGCTGTACTTACATGGATTGCTCTGTATAATTTATAAGCAAAATAGCTTGCTTTGTCTTGGACACAGCGAACTAGAGAGGCAGGAAGCAAGGAAGATATTTGAATGAAAAGATGTATTTCTTCATAAGTTAAGAAACAAATAGAACACTTTTACAGTCTGCCAGAATCATCACATTGCAGTGAAATTTCAATACTTAGAATAATGGTAGTATGAGCCATACTCTCTTGAAAAATATATTCTCTCAGCATTATATTTTAAAATGACAAATTATCATAACTGAACATGTGGCAATCATTATTTTTTAAATATGGTGCGAAATATAAAAGCTAACAGGTACAATCCATTCATTTTCCCAAGTGCCACCTATTCATATAGTCTTTAAAACTGGTCTAGACCAGTTGCTCTTTGGGAGCATCAGAACCCTTATAGATTTGTACCCAGACCAGAGGTCCTTTAAGGAGTAGCTGTAACCAATGTAAAGTGTTTTCCTCCAGTTTTAGATGTCATTTGGCTAAACTTGCCATGGCTTTAAACAGCCTGGAGCCTTCCCAGCAGGTGTCCTTGTTAATATAAGTTGAGACTATAGACCATCAAATAGTCACATTTGAAAAAGTAAATAGATTCATCACATGAATGGGTAACAATTGGGAAGCTATACCATTTCTTCTAAATAAAATCATTAGTTTCTCTTCAGTTCAAGTAATTATTTTCGGTCATGAGACCATATTTTCATCTTTATCTTATCTACATTGCAGAGAGAATTAAAGCTAATAACCTATCCCAAGTCACTTCTGGAAGGTCAACTCCCAGAGGGTGGCGCTTCTGTTGTTATTTTTGGTTTTGTTGCTTTGGTATTCGACCTGCAGTACCCAAATTAGAGACACAGTAGGTGCTCTATGACAGCATGAAGCAGATAAGTCTTTCCTGGTGTTCCTGATGTCCACTCTGTTCCCCCAGACCCACTGCTTGTTGGCAACAGTTGGGCTGTCTTGAGAATTCAGATGAGTTCTATTCTAACTCTGCTGCTAATCAGCTGACATGTGATGTATGCCCAGTAAATCTATTGGGACTTTGATGGAATGTATATGTATTTATTTTCTCAGAAGCATTCATCGACAAAAGCCACTTTATCACTTATCTTTAGGGGTTTCATATAACCCACCATTTTTGTAGAATGCTTGCTTAATAGATATCTCATAAAAATGCTCTGACCCCTCAGCTTGATGTTAAGACATTCTTGGAATGGAAAAGAAGATTGTTTATTCAATGCATATCTGAGTTTTCATCTGATGAACCTATTATGGGACATTTCACAATGACTTTTCATGTCCCCTTCCTGAAGTATGTGCTACCAAGCCACAGAGCACACGGTAAACCATGGACACTGGGATAGTCTCAATTAATAAGAGCAATGGTCTTTTCTACTATTGGCATATTTCGGAGAATATTCAGGGGGCATGCCTGTAGAACTCACTACTAATTAACAATTTATGTTTTTGTTGATGATACAATTTAGCCATGAAAGCAAATTTATTAAAGACAGTAAAATTAAACATCAAAAGCAAAAATTTGAAAGCCCCTTTCTTCTTGGAGACAAAAACATAGCCACACTATTAGCATTTATCTGCTCCTGAAAAGGGGAGTTGACGTCAATGATCTCAACAGATTTAAAACTGTGCCAGGCTGATTCCTGCAGCAGGGCATTTGAGGCTTCTCTTTTCTCATATAAAACTTGAGCCTGTTCTTCAAAAATTATGTCACTTTATTAATGTCTCCAGTTTGCCAGTTAATTGCATCAAACCGCTAGCTGATGGGCTTTCCTGTAGTTTATGAATCATTCAAATAATTGCATTGAGAAAAAATTTTCAATTAAATCTTACTCATGCACATTTAATATACTCAGAATCAGTCAGTATTGACTGCAGAATGCAAGGAAGGTCTGTTGTTCATCACACAAAATGCAGCTTACCAATTGCAACCAGCAGCTCCTGAAAGTAGCCTTCATAACAGTCATTGATGGCATCTACCATGTCTTGGCCAGAGATGTTTTGAAATTCCTGAAAAACTTCAAGAAATTTATGCAATTCAAAGGAGATTTTTATAAATATCCATCATAAACTTAAAGTACAAACCCTGGCTATTTTACTATATATAGAGAGGTAATTCTCTTTTCTGAAGCATTTCCTAGTGATACTACCCATTTTGATGAAGGATCTACTCTTTGCAACAAGTATCGATCCTATGAGATGCTAAAACCTGCATGAATCCTAGATTCTAAGGGCCTGCTCTTGCTGCTCTGGGGAAAAAATGGTTACCCCAAATAGGACTCATTGACTCAAATGCTGATTTAGATGGAGGGAAGACACTGGGTAAGCTATTGTCTATGAAACATTTCCAGAGAACATACATAATAGTCTAAATTTATTTGTCAACAGGAAACTTTCTGCTAGGGCTTACATATAAAAGCTAAATACAAAAATTCTCTGAGTGATGGATAAGAATAGGGTTTGGAAGAGCAATTTTGAGAAATAGGAGATTCTTATTAGCAGTTTAACTTACTAACATAAAATAATGTTCCAGTAAGCTTCCACTTTAAAAACTTACCCCACTGGCTTTATCCTTGGTAATGCTTAGTTCTCAGCCCTTTCAACTTAGATGTGAAGAAGTATTGTGATGGTTAGGACTAATCTTAAACTGACATAAAGTAAAAGAGACATAGTTGAGTAAGAGTAAGCTGTTGTTTAAAAGACTGATAGGACTATGTTTCATTTGATTCATTTAATTTGCTTCTCTACTAAGGGAAATGAAAGGTGCAGAGTTTGGAGAAAGTCAAGTGTAGGTTAATGTGAACACATCTCAAAGACCAATAGGTAGTATGGATATCTCATAAATTGAAATGTCTATAACAAAGACCTTAACTTATTGGCTGGTCACACTAAGCTTATTGGAGATAATTCAAGACACAAGATAATGTATCTGGTAAGAGATAGATAATGTATCTAAATATGTAAATTTTAAGAGTTGGTATTTGAAAGCTATAGGATAACTGTTGGAAAAATTAAATAATGACAGAGTTTTATTCTTTAGCAGAGCTATTAAATGAGCCATAATGTGTAAAGACATAATTCAGGGCACTAACTGATTTTTCTCTATTTCTGGGTGACAGTCCCTCTTTTATCCTAGTTACTTGTACGTCACTCAATCAGTTCAAGAGCTGTAAAGTGCCAGTTTCTAGTTACCCAGCCAGAGCTGTGGGTAGCTCTTGTTGCACAGTATCATCTGCAACATGGTTTTATGCTCCCCTGTCTTCTGCTGGCAGGCTTCCCACAGGACCTGCAACATCATAGTGTAAGAAAGGCATATCAGAAGCAGCCCACTCACTCTGTCAAAGACTGGGTTAGTACAGGGAGAGGGAGCTTAGTTACCATCGCATCCTGAGCAGCCATCGCAGGATCTGCATATCCTTCCTCTCTGGTTCCCTGTAAAGTAAGCCGGGTTTCCTTTTAGATGGTCCCAATACACAGAACATATAGTGAATCATTTATCTAATTATTCTTTATCAATAAAAATCAGAAGTCAGATATCTGGGTAAGAATTTGAATGAGCAGAGAAACAGCAGAGAAGCCACCAGTGCCCTCCTATCTTTTTTGTTCCTCCATCTAAAAGGGACAAGATCCTCTCTAAGCCCCGCCCTACAACTTCCTGTCTCTATCTGTCCTCAGTCCTCTAAAACCTCTGCGATTAATTTTGGTCAAGGTAGTAGCTCACGCTGCCTTCTGATGGAAAAATAACTTTATTGCCAGTCTTGGGAGCATTGGAATACAATTAAAATATCACAGAACAATATAGGATTATTGGGACAAAAATCCCTGGTCCCCCAAACACTGGTGATTCCTTAGCAATCTGTTACTAATTTATCTACTTTGACACATGAGGAATTGATGTGTAATTTTATAAGGAGTTTCATTCTTAGCTTTGCTTTGCAATAGAGGAACTTTGTGAAAAATGTTGAGATGCTTTTTGCTTTTCATTTTTCTGTGAGGTGTTTTCTTCCATCAGGATGACCATCCTTCATCTTGTGCCAGAGGTGGTAGTGATGGAGCTTAACAGTTAGTTCCAGGGCATCCACATAGTAGTGTCTGGCTTGCGGAACACAATTTATGCAACAACCAAATAATGATAAAGTATAGGCTTTACAAATGAGAATTTTCTGTAAAATCTTTTAACCCCTGCTCCTTATCATATAGACAGTGGAGAGTTCATTTGAGCTTCCAAACAGAAGGAAGGAGGACTAAACAATGCAAGACCCAGTAGTCTCCAGGGTCAAGCAAGAGAGGGGAGAGATGGGAGAGATTTGTGACTAGAGTTTCTTTCTTTTTTTTTTAAGCTAAAATATGGTGAGGGAGATTAATAATTATGAGAGAACACAAAGGATACAGTGACTTTCCCTGTCATGAAATGGCTCATGCCAGTGAAGTCAGTGAGATTGGAAGATGGACAAGGGTGTAGGTGTGTGTGTGTGTGTGTGTGTGTGTGTGTGTGTGTGTGTGTGTCACACACATGTGCAATGGGGGATAATATTGGATTTAGTTTGAATTAGTTTCAAACTTCTAAATAACATGACTGGTACCTCAATTTTCTTATGTGCTTCTTGGTAGAGGAACTTACACTTTGGCTGAGGAGCTGGTGGCAAAGCTTGAATGATGGTTCTTATGATCATTACAAGGACCATAGCTCAAAGATTATACTGAGATAAGATTGACTAGAACTGGACAGGAGATAAGGCTAGACCTTAGAGGGACTCCACAGATGCTATGAAGGTAAAGGGGAAGTTTATTAATTTACCTTAGCTTTGACCAAGCAGAAACAACAACAACAAAAAAGCACCGTTTATTAACTATCTGTTCATTTGGAGAGTTAGTATTGAGAAACCTCCAATAATACATGGACATTAAAATCTTACATTATCTATTCAGGGCTACCCAGACCTGTTATTTCATAGTAACAATCAAAAAGGATGCAGAAAACATCTTTGTTATTTGAGGATACCATCCTTTGCCAATGCATCCTAAAAGCCATATACATAACTTTCTACCTACTAGCATCTTGGAAAGAAGTTATGGAGAGAACTTTGAGAGTTGAGTAGTCAACTCAATAAAATTATCAAAGAAATTAAATATTTACTGATACACTTTGACTGCTCAAAGTATTGAATGGATTACATTTACCATATTATATTAAACATTAAGCATTTTCCCATTTTTTGCTAACACAAATCTAGACACATCTAGGAAAGTTTAATTATTCATAGAGAAATAAATTTACATTTTAATGACTAAATTTGTAGTCCTAAATATTTAGGAAAAGCAGACAGCATCTAAATAATGAAAGTGATTTTACTAGCCAATGGGAAAAAGGGTGTTATTTTATCTTTAAGCTATGGATGTGTGGCAGTGCAAGATCCATAGAGGTCTTACATTTCTTCCTTATTTTGGAGATAAAAACTGAGTGGACTTGGAATTATTAAATCAATCACCTCAGGTCTGAGAGTTAGAGAAGGACAATTATTAGATAACAATGGCTTTTGCTTGCTCTGATTTAGTTATCTTATGGGAACTCATTCTTTTCAAACAATGTTTTTGGGTCAATTATGAATTTTTGCTAAAAATTTCAATTTACAAAAAGTGAAAAAAAGCATTGTATCTTCTGTGAATCTGTACTATTTATTTACAAGTTTGTCACAGTGATTGCTAGTTTTTATCTTATTTGATTTTTTGGCAGGCTTTGGTGTAATTTGTCTTTTTCTCTCTCTCAGTGCTTTCATGACTGGTCTTTTTGTAGTCTTTGTTTCCCTGCTTTGGTTTTCACTGAAACCTACTCTGATCAATCTATACAATTCACCTTATCCATTCCGCCCAGCCTTACAATTCTTGTCTCACACTTCCTGATTGAATAGAATTTTTCCATCACTTTTAAAAGTTTTTTTTATAATGTCTTTATTCATTATTGCATAACAGTTTAATTTGCTTTGATAGAGGTGAATTTCATAAGACCCAAAAGCTTTGTCTCCTTTGTTTACTGATAATTCCCAATTGTCAGAAATTGTATTTGACACATTGTAAGTAGCCAAAGGGAAGATAAAGAATACTTTTTGGATGGCAGACTTTTACATTTGCTTTCTGGATCTCTGAAGTATGATATTTAGTTATGCAGCTAAGTAATCTCCGTCACTTGGAAAGATTGGGACAACTACTTGGAGATTTTCTGCAGTTCTATGTGTCTGGGCTTTTATTTTACTTGTAGTTGTGTTCATCTGTATGTGAGTATATGATTTGAGAAAGGAGAAAGATAGAAAAGAAAGTAATTAAAGGCATGAAAATACATGAGCAGGAAAACTGACTACAGTGATGGGAGCAATGCCCTGGATGCCTTGCTGTACAGATTTCAGAGGGCCCTCAAGAGAATCCTGAGAGCCAAGAGGAAGAGTGAGGCGGCATATTTAATCAGGTTGCTTCCCTTTTCTTTGAGAAAGTACTTACCCACAATGTAATTTGCACATGTTGATTAATTAATCTCCAAGAGACTAATCCTTCTTTACTTGACAGATAATTAGACCCTCCATAAATCCTATGCAATAAAGAATGTCGGAAGTAGAAGTGTTGTGGGCCAGTTTAATTACTGGCATCAGTTTTTTTCAAGAGGAGCATGTTCCCCTTCAGTTGTTTCTTGACAGAAAATTCCGTGTAGACAGACTAAGTCCAAGATTTCCATCCCAGCAATCATAGCAGTGATTTCCAACCTTTGCAAGTCTCGAATACCTTCAAGTTCTGATGTTCTAATTCCATGACTTCATCATATGCTAAAAGGGGTGCACTGTATTGAATATGTAAGGTCTTTAAAAAAAAAGAAGGGATTTTGAGAGCCCATCCCATGTGAAGGGATGCTCTCTTGACCTGGACACATGGGGAAGGGCCTAGGCCTGGCCCAGGATGATGTGGTAAACTTTGGGGAGCCCCTTTTGAGGGCCTTACCCTGCCTGAGGAGTGGAGGGGGGATGGCTAGGGGCACATGGGATGTTGGGGGGTGCGGGGAGGGAGAGGGAGAAGGGATTGACATCTGAAGCAAGCTTGTTCCTAATTTGAAATAATAAAATAAAATAAAAAGGGGTGTATCTGGTTTTAATGTTTGAAGAATGAAATCTATGAATTAACTTTTCTTTGATTCTGAAAGTGAGGGTGCACATGGGATGAGATGCTGTGATTGCTACAAGTGAAGAATGATAGGTTATTTATTTGTATTGTGCAAGAATTGAAAGAATGAGCTCATAGTCATGAGTTTGGTGAGCAGTAGTCTGAATCTCAAAAATAAATCAAAGCGATAAACCCAAGGATATATAACTGAACTATAATAGAGCAAGAGGAAAAAATAACCTATCTGTCTGTCTGTCTGCCTGCCTGTCTATCTATCTATCTATCTATCTATCTATCTATCTATCTATCTATCTCCTTTTGTGTGTGTGTGTGTGTGTGTGTGTGTGTGTGTGTGTGTGTGAAAAACAAAATTAATAGAAGTTTTCAAAATATTTAAAAGCCTAAGGAAAATCATATAGTAAACATTCTGAATCATCATAGAACTTCTATGATTCAAAAGCATAGAATAAATGATACTATTTAAAAGCATAGATAAATGAGACTATTTAAATTCTATATTAGTTTAATTTTATCTCAATTTTCTGAGTTCACTAATCCCCATGAAATATGTATTATTTTATTCTTATGTTTTACATTTTGAGAATAATGTACTATGTAACTATAAGAGCATATAATATTAAATAAACATTGTTTATATGTATAGACTGCTAAGGTAAAGACACAAGTAAAATGAAAAATAGAAAAAAGCAAGAACATTTTAGTAAAGGGGTAAATTAAGTAAAAATTTTCTTGCTGCCTGCAAAATCTAAGTTTCAATTCACCCCTATCATTTTCTTCTCTTGAAAGTTTTACTATACTTTATGCTGTCACAAGGGCATACAAACACACACACACACACACACACACACACACACACACATACACACACGCACAGAATATGTTTATGTCACAGTTATATCACAGTTAAAGGCCAGTGTTTTATCTTATCAATTTATAATCATATTAGGTGGAATCCAGTGACAAAGCAATCTTACACCTTACACATATACAAAACAAAGATTAGATAGATAGATAAGTGGATAGATCTTAGATAGATAGATGAAAGATAGATGATAAGATAAACTAGACAGACAGACCTATAGATTATCTTTTCCTCTTGCTCAACTATAATTCAGTTGTATAGACAAGTCTCTGATTGGAAACTGTTGGTTTGATTTACATTACATAGCATCATTAAAGTAAAAAAAAATGACCCTTCTTCTAAATTTAGAGAATGTTTTAATTAAAATTCTCCTATGAGGGTCAACAAGACAGTTCAAGAAGCTAAA